ACAGTGCCAAGTCATTACGACTATATAGCACTTGGAAGAGATCAATATAGGATTGATTGATGAAGATGAAGCCACCCAAAAGATGGCACGGGCATGAATAGCCCGTAAGTGGTGGCCCTTTTGAGCCATTACCAGTATCAATAGATGATACCAGAGATCTGTGGAGGTGCGACTGCACCCTGCGTGACGGGAGATGTCTCTCGTTCAAGATAGGGATTTGGGATGGGACATGGGGAAGGGGGGGGATACATGCCCAACCAACTGGACGATCGGGGATTGAACACCAACCTGCATAAAGCGAGACCGTCGCTCTACCGTCCAGCCCAACTTGTTGAGAGACTTTGGGGAGTAGACAATCCCGTGGGTTTATTATCCTATGGGTTAAAAGCATCTGTTGTCTGTCCTATTCTATCGCTTGTTGAACTTGAAGCTGTTGCCCCTTGTGCGAGTTCCATTTAGGGGTCATGTAGCGCAGCGATCTACGTCCTCGAATCACAACCGATGGACCTGGGTTCAATCTTCAAGTAGGACAGAAACAATTGGGCGAGTTTATTTTCATCCGGTGCCTGATAGATACTTGCGGGAGAGATCGCGGGGATTCGGTCTTTCTTCCCATTTGGGTTGTTGATGCGCGGGGACCTTGCCCCCCCCCCCCCCCCAAGGAATCAACTCAAGGTAACCTCAAGATAAAGTATGGTAGACATGCATTTGTTGCAGGTTGCATCCTGGAGAAGGTCAGTAAGAGAGAATGTTTGTCTGTCTAGCCTCCAACTGTGAACACAGAAAGACAGACAGACAGATAGACTTACAATCACTCTTACATACATAGATATTTTATTTCCACTAGGGAATTTCTGTTAATGAGCTGAAGCTCTTAATATCAATATAAATCACAAAAGACAAGGATTACCGCGTGCCAATCAACCTCACTAATTGTAACCATTCGAGATTAAATGCAATATTGAGTCCCAGGGAGCCTAGGGCAGCGCCTCCGGCTGGCGTACTGAGGCCAACCTGCTCTGCCCGTCCACTTACCTTGAGGTTACCTTGAGGTGCTTCCGGGGCTTAGTGTCCCCGCGGCCCAGTCGTCGACCAGGCCTCCTGGTTGCTGGACTGATCAACCAGGCTGTTAGACGCGGCTGCTCGTAGCCTGACGTATGAGTCACAGCCTGGTTGATCAGGTATCCTTTGGAGGTGCTTATCCAGTTCTCTCTTGAACACTGTGAGGGGTCGGCCAGTTATGCCCCCTTATGTGTAGTGGAAGCGTGTTGAACAGTCTCGGGCCTCTGATGTTGATAGAGTTCTCTCTCAGAGTGTTGAGTACTTGTACACACTCCTGGACTTGCTCTCCACTCACTGTGTCTGGCATTGATTAAGTAATAACAACGTGCTAAGTCAACACAGATTACACAGAGGGGTAGGTGGAAGGTGCTGAAGGGCAGTGGAAGGGTGGAGGAGGTAGGTGGAGGGTGCTGAAGGGTAGTGGAAGGGTGGAGGAGGTAGGTGGAGGGTGCTGAAGGGTAGTGGAAGGGTGGAGGAGGTAGGTGGAGGGTGCTGAAGGGTAGTGGAAGGGTGGAGGAGGTAGGTGGAGGGTGCTGAAGGGCAGTGGAAGGGTGGGGAAGGTAGGTGGAGGGTGCTGAAGGGCAGTGGAAGGGTGGGGGAGGTAGGTGGAGGGTGCTGAAGGGCAGTGGAAGGGTGGGGGAGGTAGGTGGAGGGTGCTGAAGGGCAGTGGAAGGGTGGGGGAGGTAGGTGGAGGGTGCTGAAGGGCAGTGGAAGGGTGGGGGAGGTAGGTGGAGGGTGCTGAAGGGCAGTGGAAGGGTGGGGGAGGTAGGTGGAGGGTGCTGAAGGGCAGTGGAAGGGTGGAGGAGGTAGGTGGAGGGTGCTGAAGGGCAGTGGAAGGGTGGGGGAGGTAGGTGGAGGGTGCTGAAGGGCAGTGGAAGGGTGGGGGAGGTAGGTGGAGGGTGCTGAAGGGCAGTGGAAGGGTGGGGGAGGTAGGTGGAGGGTGCTGAAGGGCAGTGGAAGGGTGGGGGAGGTAGGTGGAGGGTGCTGAAGGGCAGTGGAAGGGTGGGGGAGGTAGGCGGAGGGTGCTGAAGGGTTGTAACACCCGCTGCACCACTTCCTCTAACGCCCTGTTCCGTTTCTGTTTCATTTCCTTAACTAGAGATTTATCTAGTGTTTTATTATTTAATAAATATAATTTATCGGAGAATGGAAGAGTCGAAATAAATGAACGGCCTTGGTGCTTATATAATATTCAGCAATTGAAAGACACATCCCCTAACTAAAATTAACCCGACAGGCAATCGCAAGAACCGAAGAAAACAAATATGTACTCACAGTGAATTAGGACGGGCGTATCTCTCTCACCAGATCACTAACCCAATTTCCTTGATCACCCCCACACCTTACTGTCCCTCTTGTCCATGTCCCCCCCTGCGACTAGCGGGGTTGGCTCCTCCTCCCCCACGCTGGCAGGACTTCGGCCCATTGTCACCCACTTCCTTTTTGTCCTGATTATCAACTTCCGTGTGCTTACTATTTTCGTTCAATATTTCCTGGTCAGACTTTCTTGGTACTTTTTTCGGTTACTTTTTCCCCTGTTCATTATTCACTTGTTCAAGTGTTCTTTCTCCTCTTTGTTCAATTACATAGGTGAAGGATGCTGAAGGTAGTGGAGAGTGCGGAAGAGAGGTGGAGGGGGCTGAAGGGCACTGTAGGGAAGGGGAGGGAGTTGAAGGGATGTAGAGGGTGCTGAATTGTGGATGGAGGTGGCTTCCACAGCTTCTTCCTGTGTGTTCCACTTGTTGACCGTCCGTACAGGGTACGAGTATTTCGTTACATTTCTTCGATTCATTTGCATTTTCAGCATCCACTTATGTCCTCTTGCCCTACTTTTTGTCACTTTAAAGAGACTGTCCTTGTCGACCTTGTCAGTTAATTCCCCTTAGTATTTTGTATATTGTGATCATATCCCCTCTGTTTCTTCTCTCCTCTATGACTGTGAAGTTTAGTTTTCTTATTCAGTCGTAGTAGCTTGTTTCTGACACAAATTTTATTACAAACCTCTGCAATTTTTAAATTTTTGTTTTGGGCTTCTTAAGGTGCGGATTCCAGGCAAGTATTGCATATTTCAGTATTGGTTTAATGTAGGCTTTTTATATTGCCTTGAAATGGTTTTGATTTAGGTTTTCAACAAAGTTTGCCAGCCTCCCATATGCTGGCGATGTGACCCTGTTTGTGTGTGTCTCTAGTGTTAGTGTTGGAGATTGATTGATTGATAAAGATTAAGCCACCCAAGAGGTGGCACGGGCATGAATAGCCCGTAAGTGGTGGCCCTTTTGAACCATTACCAGTATTAATAGATGATACTGGAGATCTGTGGAGGTGCGACTGCACCCTGCGTGACGGGAGATGTCTCCCGTGTCCAAATGGGTAGTGTTGGAGTTATATCTGCGTTTAAATATATTTATCTTTCTGGTTCCTGGATTTGCCTTCCTCTTAGGGAATAGATATCTCCTGGTATTCTTTCTCCCATTCCTCTCCTTCATTACCTCAGACTTCTTGGGGTTGAACTCTAGCAGGTATTCATCTACCCGCTCCGGGAGTTTGTCAATGTTTTCCTGTAACTTTCTGCAGGTCTCCTGTTTTTAGTCTTCATTATCTTTGCGTCATCTAAACACATTGACATATATATACGCGCGCTCTCCCTAGGGTAAGTCATTCACATAAATTAGGAACATCAGTGGTGCTCGGACCTAGCCTTCGAGGGACCCACACTTGTCACACATCGTTTCGGTCTTGTCCGAAACGCTGTGCGTAATAGTGGCTTTAGGCATAATATACACCAGCTCTATATAGAAATCTAACATTCTGCTTGTAACGCATTGTATGTATGTACTTTAACCTAAACTATTTATTTTTTAATTTTATTTATTTACATCCCTCCAGCTTGACACCTCTACTGATTATGACCTTGAAGGAGGGCAGGGGGTGCTGTGGGGGGTTATCTTGAGGTTATCTTGAGATGATTACAGGGCTTAGCGTCCCCGGGACCCGATCCTCGACAAGGCCTCCTTTTTGTTACACACCCCCAGGAAGCAGCCCGTAGCAGCTGTCTAACTACCAGGTATCTATTTACTGCTAGGTGAACAGGCGCATCAGGGTGAAAGAAACTGCCCATTTGTTTCCGCTTCCACCAGGGATCGAACCCGGAATCTTAGGACTACGAATTCCGAGCGCTGCCCACTCAGCTGTCAGGCCCCTGTCAGGGTAGTGGAAATCAGGGGAAAGGTGGTAGTAGACGAGGGAAGGCACTGAAGGAAGGTATTAAATGCAAAGAGACAGCCAAGACCAGGGTAGTTGCATGGAAGGTAAAGAAGAGAGGGGGAGGTAGGTGGAGTGCAGGAAAAGGCAAGGGAGACACATAAAGGGCGGGGCAGATACATGGAGGGCGGTGGCGATTCATGGAGGGCGGGGAGAAGGTACGTGATGGTCAGGAAAGAGGGTGAAGATACGTCGAGGGCAGGTTTGAACGACTTAGTTACGTGGAGGGTAGAAAAGAACGGGAAAGGCGAGTGGAGGACAAGATAGAGCGGCACTGTCCACACATTCTTTTGAATACAAATTCTTATTATTATCATTATTAAGTACCACATGTGAAGCAGCCTAGATATTACAATCTTTTATACTTTACGCGGATTAATCCACACTGTCAAATTCGAACACGGTGCAATATGTGGCCCGCGAGCATGTATAGTGCCATATCCTGTTACCTCCCTCGCCGTCTATTATGATATGAATGAAACCACTATTGTAACCAGAGTGCATGCGTCCGAGGGCGCTCAGTTCTCTTACGAATTTGGTCAATAAATAACTATTTTAATTAAATATAACTATTTATAGTTACAAAATACATTAGTTTCTATTGAGCATTATAATAATTTTAAATAAATGTTTTGCTTTGTAGGAAAATAAGGCATTAAAGTCAACAGTCATGTAGGAGACTCAGGGCTTGGAACTCAGTGATCTGTTGGTACTTGACAACAAACATGGCGTCGGTGGCTGTCGAACGTCCTCCGGTAAGATTTCGTGACTTTTATCGGTTTATTGGACTATAATATGCCTAAAATAACAGTTATAGAATATTTCAGGCTGTATTGTATCGTTACCCAACCAAATAATCAACGGAAGGGGAGTTGCATTAGCTGCAACTGGGGGGAATTACCTGAAGGGTGTGCCCTGATGCAGGATGTGATGAAATGAACCAAATTGAAGTCCGAAGCAGCTTTTGGATTCTCAGGAGGCTGGGAGCAGCTCAACACTATGCAAAGTAATGTAGCTGCATGTTGAATTTTGCAGAGATGAAGATCATGTGATTAATTTGCATTGCTTACTCTTGAATATGGGATTTAAAGCTGCCTCGTTCAGGAGACGGTCCACGCAACTGATTTTGAAATCCAGCCCAAGATGTGCAATACCTTTTGAGAATGTGGGAAGGAATGAGACGCGTTTTGCCATGCTGCCAGTTTGCATCGGTGGTTTTGCACTACCTGGATGGTTTTATTATGCTGTAGAATTGCTGTGCTTCTCAGTGAGGACTATTTGCCCCACCTTGGAGGGCTGTTTTTTTTTTTATGCCCCATTCTTGAGAGCTGTTTTTGCCCTGCCTTGGAAGGCTGTTTTGCCCTGCCTTGGAGGGTTGTTTTGCTCAGCCTTGGAAGGCTGTCTTGCCCCGCTTTGAAGGGTTGTATTGCCCCGCCTTGGAAAGCTGTTTTGCCCCGCCTTGGAAGGCTGTTTTGCCCCGCCTTGGAAGGCTGTTTTGCCCCGGCCTTGGAGAGGTGTCTCACCCCACCTTGGAGGGGCTGCTTTGTCTCACCTTGGAGGGCCACTTGGTCCCATCATGGAGGGCTGTTTTGCCCCACCTGGTGGTAATTTTCCTTGTTTGGAAGGCTCCACCTGAAGAGGCACACACACAAATTTTTCAGAATTTCTTCTTTTTTTGACACTGTTAATTAGTAATCAGGAAACACAAAGCAAAAAGACTACATCTTGTGGTTTAGCTGTAGTGGTCCAGAGACATTGCAATTTTTGGTAGAAATGAGGTGAGGTGCCACTCAGGAATAAATGTGTGTGTACACGAATATATTTGCTTAAATATACACACACTATGTATTCATTCATATTACTTTATATTATTGTATATACATATAAGCCAAAATTTTATAATTGCACATAGCACACATTTTGCCTGTAAATACTGTATATACATGATAATCAATCACTTACTGTTGTTAAACATTCAGTGGTTCCTAGTACAGGGCTGTATGGCTGCTCTGCATATCCAGATACTCGATGGTGGTGTTACAGACATAGTCTTCATCTTTTTACTAATGCCCTAGAAGGAAAATGAGGGGGCTCAGGATTTTTTTTTACTTTTCAAGATGGGGGGGGGGGGTGAAAGGTTACTGGAGGCCCGAGGAAGCAAATGTGTGCCCCGTGTATGTACGGGACTTTTAAATCTTACGCATTACTTTAAAGTATCCCTGTATGACTCGCAGTGTGTGGTCAGACATGCCACGAGCACGTCTTTATGACTCGTGCAGCAGGAGGATTAAACAAACCTAACTAATTCAAATGCCCAAAAAGTTGCTTTACCACACTGGATCAGTTTGCCCCATTGTATGTATACAGTGCATCACATCACATTCTAGTAAATCCAACAGTGAATGGATATGAGTACTGATTTAGCCAGTTTTCCGTTTCATGTTTTGTTCACAGATGATAATTGAACTTTGGGCTCTAAGTGGTGGTCCGGATGTTTGCCTTTTTGTTTATTGTTGGATGTTTTCTGACCTCGCTGCACTTGTGTGCATTGTGGAATTTGGAGTGCAGCTGCCGTTCTTTTCCCTGGGTCGTTGTCCTACTGTTCTTCCCCACCCCTATCCCCCAAGTGTTAAACCTAGTTTGCTATTTCTGTTTTACTTATCTTTTTCTTTACTGGTCTCATCTACTGAGGCTTTGTTGTAAGTGAGCTCATGGCACTACTGTACTGACAGGGTTCCTTCCATGAAATGAACATTGAATCTGGTAGGTCCCCAGTAGCTTCTTGTCCCTGCTTTATTCCCTTCTTTTCCATACAATTGGTGTGCTTGGCATGATCAGCTCCAAATTGAGGGGTCAGGTTAAATGAGACCCTCTGTAACCTGGGCTACTAGTGGCTATCGGTCACATCAAGTTTAGTGTATTTATCCCCTTGGCAACAATTGTTTGCCTTGTGCCTCATTTTCTTCAAGCAGTCACTTGTTTTGTTGCACCTGTTCTTTCTGATTTTTTGTGCAGTTTTTGTGGTTGATCTTTGATCCTTTTATTTTTGTTTTATCTTGTTGTAGAGTGAGTCAGAGTTTGGTCCTGGCCTTGGACCAAACTCTGGACCAAAATCGGTGATGGATGGATTTCAGAGAACTAGTTCGTTAAACTAAGGCTTGGTGATACCAGAGTTTAGTTTGGGGAGCTACTGGAAGTCCACCAGGACATTTCATTGGTATTTGTTTTTCAGTCACATTAGTGAATGCTTGTATAGTGCAAATATTTTAAAGGAACGTTCCTGTCAAATTATTAAGTTAATCTAATAGGTGAAGAAAATTGTGTTCACCTACAGAATGCACAATTTGCTACTAAGACTGGTGTCATTAGGCCTAAAGCACATGAGTGGCTTTCTTCTACAAGGGCAGAAAATTACTTGTGGTAATGTCTAGCTGTAACTGTAAATGCTGCAAAAATACACTACAGTATTAAATATCTTATAGACTTGCCTACTTGGTTTTGAACAGGATGTAAACAAATTATTTTGGATTAAATGGAATGGTAACAAAAGCATATCTTCAAATGTTCAGATTTTGGTGGCAGCACTACATTCATCAGTCAGCCCTCGCTGTGTGAGAGTTCGGTATGTGCAGAATTCACTTTACACACGATAGTCATATAATGCCAAGATTTGGTCAATACTGTATGGCTTGCTTAGCATGTGTTAGTGTGCTGGGCACATTTATGCACTTTTTGGAGCACAGTACAGTACTACAATCTTTCACTGTGGCACCTTTCAATCATTCTGTATGCCTGCTGTACTTAAAGGTGTCTGCCATTGTTGTGTGAAAGGTATTTTTTAGCTTTCTTTGTCATTGGTGAATGTAATTATTGTATGTACTCTATAGCTGCAAGATACCTGTGGCTGGGAAGTAGAAATTACTTTATGCTTGTCTTCATCATTGGTCGGTTGAGTTACTTTATATGGAAGTACTGTACCCTGTGTATTTCATATAGTACTTTATTTGTGAAGGGATAGTGGTGAATGTGTTTAGATATATTGTTTAGACAGGTATTTTATTGAGAGAAGAGTTGAAAAAGTGTGCTCCGGAGATCTGGAATGCATCACAATTTTCATCATAATGTGTATATATAATTTGCATGATTTTACTTTGCCTATTCTTTGTTTTTTTCTGGAATGCATCACCTACACACAGTGAGGGCTGACTGTACTGTACAGTCAAAATGATTAAGTTACAGTTCCTCTCTAATTCTGACATGTAGAATATAGAGTACAGTAATTAATAGACGGAATTAGAGCCATGGCACACATTTCCACAGGATGCTGTAATATTCTCCACTTTGGTAGACTTCATGCCACTGTACTGCACATTACAATGATATTGTAATTCCAGTAAACAAAATTCCTTAAAGGAAAGCTCAAGCTAGTGAATTGCCCTGTATTTTTAGGGATTGTTCCAACAGTAAACTGTTTTGCTCTGAACCTGCCAGGAATACCCATACATGATGAAGATTTACCACATTGTGACAGTGTTACATAGATGCATGCATCTATGTATGTAATACAAATATGCTATCCAATCATAATGTCAATATAGTACTTTCTTTATGTCATCATGATGCCAGTACCAATTGTTTTATACTTTTTTATTTTATATATTTTTATTTGTTTATACACAGTACAGTACATACTAAATTTTGTGATAAATGAAATTATGATTTATGTATACTGTGGTCAATCTGAACAATATAAAAATGTAAATAAGGCTACAGTTACATCCATACATAGTCGCCTTCCTCCTCCCATGCCTCGGGAATTGGGGATCGAACATCAAGAGAAGGTTCCGTTCCATCCTCTGCTTCAACCAGGTCGGTCTCCAGCTCCGCCTTCACGGCACCAAGTCCTGACCTTCATCTCGGGGACTGGTATATCGATCAGGTACACTACAAGCTTGGGCAATTATTGAAGGATTGTTTTTTTATGCTCTGCCAACTAAGTTGAGGAAATACAATTTTCTTGTACCAGTACTGTAGTGTACTGTATAGTACTGTACTCCATTTATTTGCAGTGTCCATAGTTTAGCTTGTTTTGAAAGGATTTTACTTAGTGCTCAGGTTGTAATAATAACTTGTAATTTCTTTTAATTTTCATATGGAGTACCGTACTTAAAACTCCCAGTTCTGTTTAACTTAGGCTAATGTGATCTGCATCTATGTGGGGTTAATATTAATATGTTAAGTATACTGTAATTATTTTATTTGATTATCTTCAAGATTTTACTCTCTGCTGTGAGTTGTTGGTACCCTAAAAGTTATCATTTTATCAAACATTTTCATTATACAGTAAATTGTTTAAATGTGTATAGTAATAATTAAAATTTTAACTGAAATGATCATAATTTTTTGGCACAAGTTCAATTGGTCGTAATGAATCGATGAGAATCGGAACATTTTGGTGCTAGAATAAATTGCGTGTTGTAAACTAAGCCTTCTTGTTAAAAAATCTTATTACCAGTACAGTACAGTACAGTATACAGAAAAAACATTAGACTACTGTAATATTAATTTAATACAGTAGTTTGTTTTACCATGTTTATTCTGTATTTTTTTAAATTTATCTGTAAAGTACTGTACATAATTTATTTAAATATTTTATGCTATACAATTTTGGATCACTGAATGATTCTTATTTTTACAGTTTAGCTTTGCTGGGGTCTCGAAGAGTGTATTCCTGCATACAACTGGGAGTATACTATTGTATTGTGTAAGAATAGCTGTCAGGAAAGTTGATTATGTAATTTAATTCAGATAAGCAACTTTTTATTACAGTAAACATGTATTTTAGGTAAAAGAAAAAAAAAAATGTTGTCAAATCATACACGGCTATCTCGGGTGGCTGAGCTTAAACAATAATCCTTCATGATTGGCCTGTTTGGCGTGTGGCTTCTGGTGAGGGTGTCTGGTGTGTTGTATGTGGTCTCGTTTGGCAGTGCCTTTTTGTATAGTATATGGCTTCAAACCCTACTGGCAGTCCATCACACACATTTTAATTACTGTACAGCAATTTGTAGTGCATTGTAAAATAATCCAACACATTAGACATATATACTAGGTTCATCAAAAGGTAGATGAGCTGTTAAGATACTAGACTTTCATATGTACAATACTGTATAGTATTGTACATATGTAAACCCTCTTGAATTTGATACAGTTCTGGACTATTCTTCTTGAACCTTTTGATATTTTTTGTAACTTGTTTTCATTAGGTTAAGTTGTATAGGGTCAGTTTAAATTGTTTTACTTGATCAAACAGTAAATAAAATGTCTAGAGCTGGGGTGAAATTTTTTTTTTGTGTGTGTGTGTGTGTGCCAAAATTGGCAATAATCTTAAACAAAAAATTATCTCGCATGCCCATTGGAATTTTGAGCCGGAGATTATTCTTATTAGTACGGTATATTAAAAATATACTGGGTACTATATCTGGTTGTGTTTGTAGGGACTCTTGGCCTCGAAGAAGAGGATATGTAGCATTCGGAGAAGCCTTGTGGCTCTCCTGCGTACACACACATACATAGTCTTCTGCTACCATTCTCTATACTGTATATTTATAATTTTTTATTTTTATATTTAAATCTTCATTATACAAAATTTGTTACAACATTGGTATACTATTTGTATTTTACTATTTTTTATGGAGGAAGAGAGCAAAAGGCTTGAAAGCATTCTTAAACAAATCTGTTTAGGCAACTTATAACTCTTATAATTGCTTTAAATTGTACAGCTTAAAGGAATTACATGTTTTAATAGCCTACCAGTAGTCTACCAGTAGCTGTTCAACATATTTTACAAACATATTTACAACACTTGTTACTTTACCAATCATACTGGGTGCACTGTCAGTTGTCAGGGCAAATATTTTTGATAGGTCAGCCTGTCGAATAGACAATGCATTTACCACTACCTTGCATAATGCATATTTCAGTCTTTGTGGTATGTCTAGGTAATTTTACCAAGTTAACCAGTTTTTTACATATTAATGATGCTCTTTATATATTTATTTATTAATTATAGGTGGGGTTTAAAGGCTCAAGGGGCAGAACTGAGTGCCAGCAAAATTTGCTTGTGTGCTATACGGTTGCCACCCAAGGTCTAGATCATTTTTAGTTTACATTGTATTTAGTTAGCATAGACTATACAGTACACTAACCTCATTAAGTGGACTTTATTATACTTGTACTTGAATATTTACTAAACAAAAAATTCATTATTTCTTGGATCTTTTTTCTTAAATGTGACAATTGTAATTCTGCTGCTATATTGAAAAGATGTCTAGCATTGGAACAGTCAGGCTAGGAAAAAGGAAGTACAATATCTTAACATGGAATAAATGGCAAAATTGATTGAGAAAAGTAAACTTTAGTGAGTTGGCTGGAATAAGATCGTGGGTATTGGCCTATTGCAAAGGTAAAGTTACCCACCCAGTGACTAAACAATGGGCTAAACCTTATAGAAAGAAAGTACTGTATCACTAATTTCATAATGCACAGTTCCAGTCCTAGCAGTTTAAATGTTGAGGCCTGCAGCTGTGACTCCTAATCATTGCACATAATATATTGTATTGCATCCCTGCAATAAATTAACTATTGTGATGTAAATCTCTTAAAAAGCAACAACTAATTTGTACAGTACTGTACAACACAAGAACTCAAAGTATCTTATTATTATGGTATTTCTTACCTTGGAAATGATGGGCATAAAATATTTTCAGGCATATGGCAATGAACTTTACATTATATTTACTTAAATGCTTTTGTTCATTGGCATTTCCAAATCATTGCCGTGTGTCTTGTGTGGGTGTTAACCAAAGGCAGTTTATGCAAAATAATTTTCAGAACTACTCTGCTCAATGAATTTATATACAGTGCAGTATTAGCTTACAGTATTAATTATATTTCACTGACCAGAAAGGCTTTTCTATTATTAGTGTTACTTTTTATTAAAATAATAAATTAACATGAGACGTTATAAAAATATACTGTAGCCTATAGTCTTGCAAATCTAGCATACATTTCCGCTTGTGGCATGCATTTGGGGTAGGACCATATTTTTAGGTTTAGAAATTATTTAAAGGTCACTGATATTAGTACAATATATTGTTGAACAGAATCATAATTACTGTTAATATAGAAAACTGTATATTTCATTTATTTCACACAACCACTATGTCAGCTCAATCACCAATTTCCTGCAGGCAAGATTGCTCACCACTACAGTTTTTTTATTTTAAAGATCATTGAAAATATCGGTGGCATTTGCAGTTGGAATCACTCGCTGGTACTTATTTACCGCCTGATGGTTTTGTGGAGTCGGCACTGCACTGCCAACTTGTCACTGACATTTTATATGGTCCCGGAGTCTCAAGGGAATAAAGGGGGTGGTACCGGCATATCTCAAATGCTAGGGCTATTTGAAAGACGATTACTTTTGAGGATTATACTATAGCACTGTTTTCATGAAAATATTAATAGTATATATTAGAAACTATGCATATAATAGAGCTACATGTGGATTTCAATGATGTAATTTCCCTTAAAATTATGACTTGGTTCTTTAAATGCTACGTGGAAATGTCAGCATGACATTTGCTTGGAAAGGGAGGTACAAGTGTGTTTCTGTACCCTGCAGTTAGTGAAGCAGTTGTCAGTGTGTGTGTGGATCTGTTTGGACTAAATGTGACCTGTTTCTATATTAATTGCCTTGGCTAATTTGACATTGGTTTTTGTTTTTTATGACTAGACCCAGTACCTTACATTTTGACAGCAGAATACCTGATATTTGTATGCATATTTCATACTGGTACTTAGATACTTATTAAAGATTGTATTTTGCAAATTAATAAATACTCATAGCATCACTTTTCCTGTTGACAAAGGATTAAATTTAATAATAATAATAATAACAATATCATCGAATCCTCGTCACATCCCCTATTGATTTTCTCAATATTATTATTATCGATATTATTATTATTGTTATTATTATTATTATTATTATTATTATTATTATTATTATTATTATTATTATTATTATTATTACTATTATTCTTATTATTGAAGTGTCCCAAAGTTGCCACAACTGTGTATAGCTGCAGGTTTTATGATGTCAGAACTAGATACAAGTCTCTCTCCATCGCCTAATGAATGGGGAATCAATGGGCTAGGAAGCTTTACAGATAATGTGTTTCATGCCCTTCTGTGCTACCAAGAGGAAGTTTGTGCCGCACCTCTCCTATCTGCCTCGCCCTCGCCCCCACCCTTGGCAGACATGGCTCCCTTTTCCTACAGTGGTCCTGGATTTCCTATTTTGTACAAATCGAAAATCCCTCCTCATGCAATTCAGCTTGCTAGACAGTCTGAAGTGTTTAAATCAATTGAGGTTTGACTTACAAAAGTACTTGCTTGTATAATGTGTGTTGCTTTTTTATATTTATATTTTTTTTGTCATAATAAATTTTGTTACCGATTGCATAGATTGAGCTTTTTAATGCTGTACTCTACTGGTATTGCAGTTTGCTTACTAAAGCTCATTTTGCACACTCATTTACGTATGGTTTAATATGTAAACGTGTGTAAATTATTTGCTAAAGTCTTCATGGGTAAACATATGTAAATTATTTGCTAAAGTCTTCATGGAGACAACCATGGTAAATTGTCATTAATTATATGTATACAAAAAATAATGTGTACAGTACAACTATATATGTTTTACTGCTTAGATTGCCACTTTTTTAATCCAAAACTTTTTCATCATAGTGTATCCACTTTTTATTTCACATTATTATTTGTGTGTACTTAGTGTGGCAGCCATATATCTTTTTATTTGTATTTATTATTTATTTAATGTACAATTTTTTATTTAGTGTTTCAATGTGTTCATTCAAAAGTCAATTAGACTTGAAGCCATTAAAAAAAATCTGGAGATTATACAATAAGCCAACTTCCACTAGAGCAAAACATCCATGTTATGAATAAAAATTAGATTTTTATCCAAACCTGTATACAGTACAATATTTGTACACTGTTGGCATTGTTGTTGGACCACAGCGTCTAGTTAGTGGACATGATTACTATGCAATAGCGGAATATTTGAAATATTTGAGGGCAACTGCATGCACTAGTCTTTTCTGAATACACTGTACTAGAAAAATATTTAAAGATTAAATTGTAGTTGCCTATAATTTTTTTTTCCAAAGTGTAAAGTTCAAATTTATTTTTTCAGATTGAGGAGAAGATTCGTACCCTGAAGCTCTCTGGTCATGTGGGATTTGATTCTCTTCCCGATCAGTTGGTGGCCAAATCAACCCAAAATGGATTTACTTTCAACATTCTCTGTATTGGTATGTTCAGATTTTTAGTACTGTACAGTATAATATTTACTAGTGTTGGGTGTTGTACACCTTAAATTAGGTAGACTTCCTGGTGCACATAAAATTTATTCCACAAAAATTTGTCCTTTCTATATTGTAAAAGAACTACATCTTGCTTACTGATTTTTGGAAGAATACAACAAAAAATTCTTCTTACTGTATTTTAGTTTGGCTGCAATGAAGATACAGTATGATATCATAATTTAAGATATAATTTTTAAATTAACTATTTGTAATCAGCCCATCCTCCTGTTTTGGTAGTATTTATAGTAATGATGAGGACCATAGTACATATACCGATGTACCTTACCTTGAGGTGATTTCGGGGCTCAGCGACCCTGTGGCCCGGTCGTCGACCAGGCCTCCTCATATCCAGACCAGGCCATCCTTCGGCATGTACAACACAATTAGAAAGTAGAAATTGGTACATTTGAATTTGGACAAATAGGAAAAGATTTTTATTTATGTTGCAAAGATAAACTAAACTAACCTAACCTTCTTAGGCCTAATATGGTACATATGTGTGATATATTAGACCTAGGAATATTTAAGTTTGTTTTTAGCTTCATATTTTTGGACTATAAAAGTGAATAGTACCAAATTCTGCTATCTTATTGCTTGGTACATCAATCTTTGTACGATGATGCACATACTATCTTGAGGTTATCTTGAGATGATTTCGGGGCTTTAGTGTCCCTGCGGCCCGGTCCTCGACCAGGCCTCCACCCCCAGGAAGCAGCCCATGACAGCTGACTAACACCCAGGTACCTATTTTACTGCTAAGTAACAGGGGCATAGGGTGAAAGAAACTGCCCATTGTTTCTCGCCGGCGCCTGGGATCGAACCCAGGACCACAGGATCGAACCCAGGACCACAGGATCGAACCCAGGACCACAGGATCACAAGTCCAGCGTGCTGTCTGCTCGGCTCCCCAAAACTTCATATTTTACTAGCAAAATTTACTTATATTTACTAATATTTACTAAATATAATATTTACTAACAAAAACTACTGTCTAAACAGAAGGATGGGTTGTTTGTTGTAATTGATTTCTCATCACTAGTATCTCCCAGGTCCATAAATGTTGTCAATATTTTGCATGGCATCAGTGGTTCCTAGCATGGACATCAGTCAGTGGATGGTAATACACTTTGTCATGGTGCCCAACTTTTTTTTTCTAAAGCCCAGGAATGAAACTAAGGCTTTCAGGATTTTTTTTTTTCTGTATGGCAAATGATGGCCAGAGCTCTCTAGTGTTAAATGATGTTCATTTGGAATCTTTAGGACTTTTTTTTTAATATTATGGGGCATCTTGTCTGCCACAGGAGATAGGCGCATTGTCTGTGTAATGCTTGAAGGTGACGGGAAGGTTTAAGGGTTAATTATGGAACAAGCTAGCCTATTGGTTAGATTAGATTGGGAGTACAGTACTGCTATCACTTCATATGTTCAGTAGTGTAAAATTGACAAGAGTATTGTTTATGGATTATTACACTGCCTGAGGACAGTGTTCTTGTTCATTTTTGTCTAGAAAATGTATGTTATAGTACCAGTATGATTTGAAAAATTGTAAGTGAATTGATAGCTTAGTGCAGAGCTGGACAAATTCTGACCACCACATCTTCGTATTGCCAAGAAATTACATTATAATGTGGAAATTTATTTCAAAATATTTGATACATTTTTGTTTTAAATATTCAAATTCCAGGTATTACAATCCTTGAAATTCTTGGCAAATACTTTCACCACATGTAACTAGAAAGTGGCAACGATTTCCGTGAGGAGTGTGTGTGTGTGTGAGACCAAGAAAAAATGGTTACACATGTACTTTATTATGATCTTGAAGTGTAGTTTTTCTTGCTAGGGTTAATAATAATAATAATAATAATAATAATTAATAATAATAATAATTTTCACCAGACCACACACTAGAAGGTGAAGGGACGACGACGTTTCGGTCCGTCCTGGACCATTCTCAAATCGGGAATGGTCCAGGACGGACCGAAACGTCGTCGTCCCTTCACCTTCTAGTGTGTGGTCTGGTCAACTTACTTTAGCCACGTTATTGTGACTCATCGCCTGCAATAATAATAATTTATTCACAGGAAGGTACAATGGGTTGGTGAGATTACATAAAATTGGAATTTGTACATTCTTGCAAAGCCACTAACACACATAAGTAGTGTTTGTGCAGTATTAGCTTAAGAGATAAGAGCATAGCCATGGTCAACTGTCTTATAATGTATACCACATCATGCATGTCATGCTACATGATGCTGTGCAAGTTTGTTCCATTAGAGTGTTCCATTACAAAAGATCATTAAATTAATTTTTTAATTGTTCTGGTGGAAAGGGAAGACTAAAAACCCTATAATTTATCAAGAGCCAAATATGAGGTAACAGTAGGATAAATTGGCAGTTACTGGGCACTTAAGAAAGTTATTGATGTTCATGGACAAATATACTAAAAAATTTATATTTTTTGTGTTGGAAAATTTGTGGTACCGTATAAATGGAACATTTATACATTTCAACATTTAGGTTGAAAATATGGAGAGAGCCTGACAGCTGGGTGGACAGCGCTTCGGATTCGTAGTCCTGAGGTTCCGGGTTCGATTCCCGGTGGAGGCGGTACAAATGGGCAAAATGTTCTCACCCTAATGCTCCTGTTACCTAGCAGTAAATTAAATAGGTACCTGGGAGTTAGACAGCTGCTACGGGCTGCTTCTTGGGGGTGTGTAACAAAAAGGAGGCCTGGTCGAGGACCGGGCCTCGGGGACGCTAAGCCCCGAAATCATCTCAAGATAACCTCAAGAGGAACGACTGACTCTGTACACAACTGATTCTGCCACCTGATGTTTTCATTGATTACCAGGCAGCCAACTAGCAGCTGGTAGTTTGTGGTAACTGAGCACTACTTATTGGCCTCTTTGATTTCAATTACTGTACTTGAAAGAGATTTTGAGTGCAATGAAAGGACCCGAAGGTCATTCTGGGTAGGATTAAGAAATTCCAGTGTCTTCCAATTAGTTTGGCTTTGTCATTTAGAGAAGATAAAGTGGCGTTGGAGTTGAGAGGTCATACTGAATCAGGTTAGGAGTGGTCCCCCGGGAAAGGTTGTGAAAGGGAGTGACTGAATTGACTTGCACAGATAAGATATTTCATTAGTACAATACTTTATAATTTATATCTTAATTTCTAAAACGATAATCCTTTCATTGACCTTGGAAGCTTAGTGTTGGCTGATGAATTAGGCATCCAAGTGTGAAATTAATATGGTCATCACAGAGTGCAAATAATGTCACATTTTCAGATATGACACAAAAGAAAATTATGTCAGCTGCTAAGAATTAATTAATTATATAAATAATTTTTGTTTTCTTTTAAGGTGAGACGGGCATGGGAAAGTCCACCCTGATGGACACACTGTTCAATACAAGTTTTGAATCGAACCCAGCACCACATACCCTTCCTGCTGTCAAACTGAAATCTCACACTTATGAACTTCAGGAATCTAATGTCAGGTTAAAGGTAACTACAAGTATTTCTCCCTTATTTGCTGGTTTACCAGTTCTTCCACAAATCTCAAGGATTTGTTGACAGTAGATGTCCATTTCATCCTGAGTATCTTGAAATGTAATTGTATGTTTATTTACTTGTATATAAATGATATGCAGAACTGTACTGCATCCAGTGAAGGATTGATAATTTGTAAGTCAGTGAATTGGTAAATTCATGTAAAGCACAATACAGTAGTTTCAAAACTGCTGGTTAGTGAAGATAAAATTTGAGCCAGATTATAATATGTCCACACTTAATTTCAATGCTTTTTAGTTCATATTTAGATAATCTGGATAAATGTTTGATCATAGTAGGCATCCAACTATATTATCTTAGTATAATATCTACATATTAATACTATAATAGACCGATGATGCATTTTAGCCTGATAAGCTGTTTTACAAATTTTTATTTGGTTAAATACCATATTTCAACAACATCCAAACTCTTTATTTTGAAAACTTAGCTTCATTATCCATTATTTCTTTGATAGGCCTCTTATTAGTTTTCGAAGCTAAGTGGTGATGTAGTCAAGCCTTAGGGAGATACACCAGGCCTCTGAGGCCCACATTTATCTACTGGGAGCCTGGATCAGAATTTGCAATAGCTTGCAATCTCTCTAAGAGGCAAGGCAAGTTTGAGGATCGGCGATTTACTCAAAACCATGTAAATACTCTGTGAGAAAGCATGAACATAAAACAAGTAACAGCTTAAAAATTAGGTACCTGAAAGTTATTAGGTAAATGATGTGCCTGACCACCACCAGGTGGGTGCCCAGGCCACCTGACGCACCTCATAGTACCAAGTATGCAGTCCGTCTGACGGGGCCCATCATCTGCTTATTCAGATACACTCCTAATTGTTCTGTATTATTGATGCTTTATTGTATATTAGTGTTGTCTATATTTTTTGTTCTGCTAGTTTACGTGTGAGAAATAATATTTATCATATCTAACCCATTTCCTACTCTTATGATTGTTACCATATTTCTTAATTAATATTGAAGGAATTGCTGGAACACTTCCTCCTCTGTCCATTTAATTCAGTATAGTCCAGGAGTGAATGGCATTGATATGATGCCATATAAATAATTGATCAGTCAGTCAGTTGAGTGTATCCCTTTAGGCTATCCTATTCATTGTAGCCACTCACACTATCCTATCCTATCCTATGTAGCCCCTAATTCCATGCAGTCTAGCCTTGTGTATCTTTTGTGTGTATTTCATGGTGCTGCATAGTCTTACTGGCTTGCTTTCTTTTTTTGATAATTACTCGTGTATATTTCCAAGTTACACAGAGTACATCAAGTGGATTGCATAACTTGATGACATTTTTGTTATTCACTATGAACAGGGGCTAATTTATCACAAAAGTCCTTGACTACCATTCCACAAAGCACTTCCACTCACATGATCAGTGCTTATTTGCATAGCATTACTACCAACGTGCTATGGTTCACTTGCCATATCCATCTATATTTTGCAAGGTCTCTCTCTTTACCAAGTTCCTTCTTTAACATTTATACTCATTCATTCTCTCTTACTACTTCAGTCAGTTAACTTCAGGACTCCTCTGTTTATCTCTCCCATGAAATATTTACCCACATATTCTTGTATTTTTAAGTGCCTTATCTTTGTTTTTTAAGTACAATATAAACAAAAAAAGTCATTACAGTATTTTACATCTATATTAACTATAATCCTAATACATGTAATTGAAAAGATAAATAGTGTAACACAATTATAGTTGCATCAGCTTTTTGTCAAAAAGTTTATCTCGTCATTTCATAACAAGCACAGTGTGAAACACGTGTGGTGTCCTATTGGCAACTCAGATCGTCTCGTGTTCCCTCTGGCATTTCTCTTGTGGTACTGCCCACAGTAGCTTCAATTCAGTGACTTAAGTCATTGATGTTTTAAGTCATAGGTGTGTAATCTCTTTTTGTTAAAATAGTCCTGTTAGAAACAATCCAGTGTGTGGGGGTGATGTCAGGTTGTTGCAAGGCCTGATTGGACCTCTTCGTCCTATACAGGGATTGGATAAAATATTCTGAAGTTCCAGACTCCTACTGACCACTACATACACACACTTTGCTTTAATTGTATTGTTGCCATTTTCACTAGTGATGCCAACTGTATAACTCATAGGGGCCTAAAATATTGCTTATAATTGGACAAAATTTTTTGTTGTATGTTTCTTCTTTGCATCTTTATTGCATTATAAAAGCAAAGCTTAATATATAAGATTATTTTGTTTACACCTTGTATGCTTAATATTTCACAGCTAACAGCAGTTATTTTCTTTTAATTTTCATCTAATTTTGGACACTTCCTCTTATAGCTGACAATTGTCGACACAGTGGGTTATGGGGACCAAATCAACAAAGGTGATAGCTTCACAGCTATTGTTGATTATATTGACAAGCAGTTTGATGATTACCTGCAAGAAGAATTGAAGATTAAACGCAGCCTCTCCGCTTATCACGACTCTAGAATTCATGCCTGCTTGTACTTCATTTGTCCCACTGGCCATGGGTAAGGCAGAAAATTATTTTTTTCTCTAAATTATTCCCTTACAGAAAAGGATACAAACATTTATGTCTGGCTAGGAAATTAGATTTTGTTTAGGAATTCAAGTTTTTTAAAAGGTGAGGTTTTAAATTAAAACATTTGTGTCTGAGGGCAATTTCTAGACATTAGTTGTGCATTACTTTTGAGATAACCATTGATGAAAATGAGGCTCATTTACTGGGAAAACTCATCACTACAGAGTTCATAAATGAATTTGTTTTTCTATGGAGGGTCAAGTAACCTCCCTGTCAAAAAAAAAAAAATAAAATAATCATTCTTGTGAATAGAAGGCCTTCTTAACCACCAACATAGAAAGGGAATGAAGATTTAGGGTGACATGATTGAAATGCACAAATGGATGAATGAAGTAGTATACCAAAGGGGTATTAGATGTATCAACACATAATGGAACATGAAACAATGTCTATAAACTGGGTAAGTTGCTAATGTTTTTAAATAAAGGGCCTCCTTAACCCTTGTATAGTTATATTGAAGGGCCTTTAACCCCTGCATAATCTCTGGATGGATTGAAACTCGGCTGGCACCTCCTCGGTGGGTCGAAGTGTTGACGGAAGAGTTGTAATACAGTATTATGGAAAGTTTGCTCTACCTAGGTGGTCCTTTAGAGATTTGCACTTCTTCTATGCTAACATTGGTGGCCTCTGTGGAAAGATAGGCTGTTGCATGATGTACAGCGGCGTCAAACCATGGCCGTGCACTGTGGCTTTCTGCCTCACTTTGGAAATATCACCACCAGCATCGGGTTCACTGATATCTGAACCTCGTACATAATCTTTATCACTGTCTGGGGTCTTTAATGTCACTACTGATAAATCATTGCACATAATGATTAATTTCATCATCATCAAGTGATGATGAGGTCATGAGGTGAATGGTGGTGCTGCTGCAGCATGAGCTACCCCCTATGGTTGCTGTGTTAATACTGAGGCCTTCACACCCAGGAGGGGTGCCAACGATTTTGTTTCCAAGATGCCGTCTGTGTACTGGAGACCTGAGGAAGTGGGTGCGAGTCCCATGTACCCGTGGGAGTTTTAAATTTTACACTAGACCTAGAATCAATGCTGGTTGATGTGTAAACCACTGACGAGACAACCTTGAGTGATATGCACAGTTGAAGGGCTAAGCAATTGCTTAGGCCCTCATAGCAGCTCATGGGGGGTCTTCTATTTTTTTTATTACTATGATAAATAATACTATTTTATGGATTTAAATTTTTACTTGTCCCCAATTTCTGTTCATGTGATTTAAAGAGATTGTTTAAATAAATGTATTATTATAGAACATTTATGGGAGTGGGGCAGTTCGTTTAGGCTAACACTGCTTTTTGAGAGATATTAAAGAAACATGAACTTCATATAATTTAAGTGTAGGCAAGGGGTTGTCTTCATGGGAATAGTTGACATACAGAGGCAGAGGAAAATGACCCACTTTATATATATATACTATATCTATGTCATGGTCAGGGAGATATAATCTCCATATACCTATATTAAGGTAGTAACCTTCAGCATCACTGGAACATATAGCCTGGCCACATACCATGCAAGGTTCTAAATGTCCATCAGACAATGTCCATCAGACTAAATCTGATGTCCATCAGATTTAGTCTGCATGTTCTTTACTCCATGACACCTACTTAGACCTACCTTACTAGGTAGGTGTTTATGCTCCATCACCTTAGTTTTTGATCAGGATGCTTAGAGATTATTTTTCTTTGCAGACTGAAAAGCATTGACCTTGTTTGCATGAAGAAGTTGGACTCCAAAGTGAATGTGATACCAGTGATTGCCAAAGCTGATACCATCTCCAAGTCTGAACTGACAAAGTTCAAGCAGCGTATTATACAGGAGATAAAGGCCAACTGTATTCAGATTTATCAGTTTCCCACTGATGATGACACCATGGTGAAGGTGAGATAATATGTGGATTGGAACTACATTATTATTATTATTATTATTATTATTATCATTATCATTATCATTATCATTATTATTATTATTATTATTATTATTATTATTATTATTGAGAAAATCCTTCTCTATTTTCTCATTGATATATTACTAAAATGTGATTTCTTTGTATTATTATTATTATATTATTATTATTATTATTTATTATTATTATTTATTATTATTATTTATTATTATTATTATTTATTATTAATATTATAAGAACTTACTACAAAGCCATAGTGATTGAATGAAGGTGGAGGAAAGACTCAATATATACTGTATGTATTAAAAAAACAAATTTTCGGATGTAACCTACATCCTTTTTGAAGGTGCTGCATACGCTGTTCATTGTATACAGTACCCTAGACAATAACCAATCTCCACTTTGCCAGCTCGATTATTATTGTGTTTGCAGTTGTGTTGTTTACCTGCCGGTACAAATCCAGACCCAGCGGTTTAACCCCAAAGAAATAGCTCTCTTTACTGCATCAGCTGAGGCTGCCACCTTTCTCCAGAATTTGAATTGGTAGCAAAGGCTTGCATTTAATTAAATTTGTAATAGTTTTTAGCAGATTCATTATTATTTATAATTTTTTTATATTCACTAGGTTGCCGTCTCTGTTAAATGGAGGTTAAATAGTTGGTTAGCTTGACGTGAAAAATTTAAGCGATGGCATATTCAGAACAAAGTTCTTTACCTGTGATTTAGGTCAACACGGAGATGAACAACCAGATTCCTTTTGCTGTTGTTGGAAGCACAGACTTCGTGAGAGTTGGCAACAAGATGTTGAGAGCTCGTCAGTATCCCTGGGGTACTGTGCAAGGTAAGCTCTTACAGAATAAGGCCTTCCTAATATTACTTGCAGATAGGGAAGGTTATTTTTAGGCACACTTTGTTTCTTGTTTCTTGGGCAACAGTACAGAACTCCTGAATTTTCTGTGACTTTGACTTTCAATCGGCAGGTATCGATTGTCTGCAGAGGGTTGACTGTCCTTGTACATTAAGTGCTTTAATTAAAAAAAGGCTTCCTCATTGAGAATCAGAATTTGTTCAGGCTTTAGGATAATAGACCACTTATAGTAGTAGTAGTCACTGGTTATTAAAGGATTGAGATTTTTACTAATTTATTTTTGCATAAAACTTATTTTGATGTCTGTGGTGTAAAGAGCATTGAATAAGTAAGGGATGTGTTTAGATATGCTAACCTGTTAATGTGGGGTAAAGGGTATCACTGCCAATGATCATGCACTTATCAGTTTTTACAATTTCAGTCGAAAATGAAAGTCACTGTGACTTCACGAAGCTGAGAGAGATGTTGATCCGCACAAACATGGAGGACATGCGAGAAGTGACTCATCAGCGTCATTACGAGCTGTACAGGAAAAAGATTCTCGAAACTGTAAGGCAATTATAAATTTTGCTTGGTAGAAGTAGCAGATAAGATGAAGAATGGGTAGTTAAGATAGTACTGTATTAGAAGATTATGAGAGAATTAGCTTCTCTTTGTTAGCTTATTGGATAACTTAATTTTGCTTACATTTTTAGAAAACTCATATTAGGCATTATTTAAAATTTGTTGGGACATAAATTACTAAAAAATATTAGTCCGGCACTTGAAGTTAAAAATAGTGATGTTTCAATTTCTTGTACGCTATTATTGTAGGGAAGTGGGGAGGGAGGCATGTGAGACTATGTAGGTAGGTTAGTAAGAGGCTCTTATTTCACATTCCTACCCTCATTACTCACATGTCTGTGTGTCCATGTCTGTATCCTTGGATTGTTGTACAAATATTATTTGTTCAAATTGTTTTCAAATGGCAAGAATGATGATTATGAGTAAATCATATTTGTAACACTTATTTTGAATTGATCATTGAATTGTATGTGAAAAAATTACGCATTATGAGAAGATCAGTGAAGTCCTCATGGCCCTGTCTTATTGTTTTAAGAAGTAAACTTGTAGAAAATATTTAATTTTCTTTTTAATATAATTCTCTTGTTCAATGAATTTTAATATTGATGTACCATTTTGTTTTTAGCCTAATGGCTTTAAGAATTACAAAACCTGTACTTTGTCTTCAATTTGTTTTGCTATTTCTGTATTTGTTAACTTGGCATAGCTATCTGTATCTAATGGCTTCATGAATTTCCACCAGATGGGCTTTTCTGATGTGGGTCTGGATAACCAACCAGTGAGCTTCCAGCAGACATTTGAGCAAAAGCGAGTGGAGCATCGTGAAGAGCTTCAGCGGAAGGAGGACGAGATGAGGCAAACATTTGTCTTGCGAGTCAAAGAGAAGGAGACTGAACTTAAGGAGGTGGAGAAGGAAGTAAGTTGTAGTTTAGTAAATTGCTATATTAGGCATCAGATTAACCCGTCCTTTTACAAATTGTCTTTTTTTGCTTATATGCGCACTAATGCCAAAAATCATCGTAATAGAAAATTTAATCGGCTCACGAAATTGACGTACTGTCCTGTTTTCTGTTTTGGATCCTCTGGCTTACTCGATTAGGTTAGGAGAGGAAACATTCAATTAATGGTTTTCATGATGTTTTGAAACCTTAGGAGAATTTCCTGCCCTCCTAACCTACCAGAGGGCCTTTGCTGTTTTGGGAAAAAAAAAATTAAAAAATTTATTTTCAATTATTTTTCATTTTCAAATTATAGCACGACCTTTTTTGGCCGTAGTGCATACGCACGAACAGCGACGTAATTTGTAAGAGGACGGGTTGCTTAGATAGCGTGTATTAGGCATAGGAAGATTAGGTTAGGTTAAGTTTTCTTTGCTGCATCAGTACAAAATTGTTTCCAGTTTGCCTAAATTCAAAAGTACCAAATTTTACTTTCCAATTGCCTTTTGCGTCAATATATATGCATGATGGTCTTCATCGTCACTATAAGTACCACCTAAACAGGAGGATGGGTTGAATTAGTTTACTTAGTAGCAATAAATACGTGGCACTTAAGACAGGTAGGGTGAGATAGAGAGAGGGTGAGAGGGTGAGATAGTCGAGAGTGGAGAACATGAATTGCAGCATTTGTCAAAACTTAAGTGTGAACATTGTAATGGCAACTTTCTATCAATGGTTTGTGGTCTGATATTTATTTTTCTGCATGCTTCATGTACAGTGTCAGGACCCCTGGACATTGTTGTAGGGTTTAGAGTTAAGACAGCAAAAAATGTAAATTTAAATTTGTACATTCAAACTTCAAAGTTCACTCAAAGTATTCAGTGAGGTTTCTAATCTGCACAATAAAGTCAATAATTTCCTGTATTGAGGACACAGCCCCTCCTCCTGTTTTAGTACCTGTTTTAGCACCTTAGTAGTACTTACAGTAATGATGAGGACCATAGTACACACACCGATGTACTTGGCAATTAGAAAGTAGAAATCGGTATTTTTGAATTTGGATAAACTGGAAAACTTTCTATTTATGTTGCAAACTAAACTAACCTAAGTTTTTAGGCCTAATACATGCTATCTGAGGCCTAATAAATATAGTACATATGTGTGCTATACTAGGCCTAGGAATATTTAAGTTTGTTTTAGCTTCATTTTTCCGACTATAAAATGAATAGTACCAAATTCTACTATCTAATTGCTTAGTATGTCAATGTTTGTACTATGATGCGCATAGTTACAAAAAGTAGAGTAGAGTACTATCAAAACAGGAGGATGGGTTGAAGGACAGTATGATAAAAGGTGTAGAATAAACTCCTGACAAATATAAGAAAAAGTGCTGGGTAAAGGATAAACGTATTGGCGGAGACTAGACGGATTTCTGTAGATGCTGGATCAACTTTCTTGTGAGGGAAAATATGGTCCTAAATGATGCAAAGAGCAATAACTGGCTGGCCAGAAATTGACCCAAAAAGTTGGGTTTTGAGAGTAGTTAACCTTAAAAACTGGTATCAGGTAAATATGGATAGTGTATTTTTTTCATAGTAGAAAATTTAAGATTTATTTAAAAAATTACTGAAAATTTTGCATGAAAATCAAGGTTATATTTACCTAAAATCATTCCTGTAGAACAGTGGTAATAACCTGTGACCAGTTCAGGTGCATGTGGCTCATCTGACTTGAGTGCAGCCAAAGGACATTTTGTTATCCATTTTCTCCACTAAAACTGCTATCAGCAGAACCCTGTTTTGTCAGGTGTCTGTATAGTATTTAGTGTGGAAAATATTTTTGTATATCATTCACTGTCATTGACATTTATCTAAATTCCTGAATTGAATTGAATTGAATTAAAAACAAAATACGACTTTTGTAGTATGGTAACACTGGATGATGGCATTCTGTGTCATCCCATACATCAACCAAACTGTTTGCTTATTGTTGTAACAAATTCAGGAGTTGAAATGTAATGTGTGGATGTTATCACAAAGCACTGTAATTACCCAAGTGTAATTACCTAACTGTAGTTACAGGAAAAGAGCTATGCTCGTGGTGTCCCGTCTTCCCAACACTGCGTTTTGAGTGACTGATGCTTTGAAACACTTTAAATAATTCTTTGAAATGACTGACGTTTTTGGCCTCTACCACCTTCTCACCTAACTTGTTCCACCTGTCTACCACTGTTTGCAAAAGTGAATTTTATTATATTTCTTCTGCAGCTTTGTTTAGTTAGTTTAAATCTATGACCTCTTGTTCTTGAAGTTCCATGTCTCGGGAATTCTTCCCTATCAATTTTATTGATTCCTGTTGCTATTTTGTACGTAGTGATCATATCGCCTCTTTTTTTTCTATCTTCTAGTTTTGGCATATTTAATGCCTCTAACCTCTCCTTATAGCTCTTGTGGTGTTCTACTGGTGACTTTGGAAGGTTGTGCACACCTATACTATTTTCAAGCGGCATAATGGATTCTTTAGAACAATCATGTTCAAGATTGAAAAGGATGAAGGTATTGTAGCAAAAAATAGGAAATTTGGGAATAATGGTAGATCGTAAATGATAACTGGGCGCTATTTTATTTTGTTATTGAAGAGAGCAGTAGACCATATTGGTTTAATTGTAAATATGTGATATATTAGTTTTCAAATACATTGTTCCAATAAATTAAATATTGTTTTGCTATTCTTCTCATGTAGCACAGTTTCTGATAAGTTTTCCCAAGGTAGTTAAGTAGAAGGAAAGCCTCCTTTTCAGCCCACTTGCTATCTTAGGTTGCCTATCACTGCTCTAGAACCACGTGAAATTTGGCAGGAAAATTAAGACCGCGTCAGTATTGAATAGAATCCAGCACATCTGTTAGTTTAATGCAAATTCCTGTACTTGACATTGATTTTCTAAAATGTTTTGAAAGCTTCTTTACATCTTTATTGCTAGGAAAATGTTTATTGTGAGGAAGTTTCTTTATAAGACCATCACTTTTCCTTTAAAGAAGGTGAATTCTTGAGGAAAAAGCATTTGAGATACAGTACTGATAAAAATTTACATGCATGTAGTCTTTTTTCCCTAACTTTCACTTAGAGTAAAGATTTTCATGTCTAGTTTCTCATTTTTCATTCTTTGCAGCTGTACACGAAATATGACACCCTGAAGCGGGAACATGCAGAAGAAAAGAAACGGTTTGAAGATCTCAAGAAACGACTCGATGAAGAGAAAGCCGAATTCCAGAAGCGTAAACATCAAGTGGCCACTCAGCAGCTCACCTCTCACACTCTCACGCTGGGCAAAAGTAAGAAGAAATAGTGAGGAACACTTAGAAATATGTTTGAGATACTTAAAATTATATATACAAATTTAACCTAAAAACAAAGAATATTAACTATGAAGAATAGTCTCACCATGTTAGAGATGTTGATAATATTTAGCTATGTAATTATTTAAAGAAGAAAATGGCTCATTTAGATCAAGCTTCATCTTCCACAATGTGGGAATTGATTGATGACACCTCAGAGAGGGTTGCAAGTAGCATTGATGCAAATAAGAGTACCAAAAGGCAGAATGGCCAGTAGACCTTTGTCCATTGGGTCTTTTCTGCCCATCTTCGTCTTTGATGTCTTGTTCAACAATACTTATCAAAAAATTGTGTTCAGTTTTAGCCAGGTTTGCAGTGTGTTACCAGTGACTTTGTTGGGTATTTTGTGAATTGGTGTTGCAGGCAGTAATATCACCTTTGTTTACTAATGTCTGTCTGTCTTGCCTGGTATTTTTCATCAAGAGATTTCTAGTGTGAAGCAAGTCTAGAAAAGATTACAACAAATTAGTGTCCCATCCTTTAACAGAACTTGAAATTTGCATTTTATAACAACACAAGTATACTGTGGATGTATATTTTTCTGAAATAGTTATTGGTATAATCATCCTTAATGAAACTGTTGATCTTGGTAAAAAAAAACTAATGTACAGTTATAGTATACTGTACAGTAGATGTAACTACAGTGTATATTTACTACTGCCTTCAACCCCCCCACCCCCTTTTTTTTTTATTTTACACAGATTAGTATTAAATGCTAAAGTGTCGCATCACCTCCCTTACCCAAGTCCAGGGTGTGGTCACAAGTTAAAAAATAACAAATGAAGATTTGAACAAATTGTTTACTGGTATATATAGAACATGTTTAAATAAGCCATGCACACTTTTTCATTATGTATCTTTAACTTTTTGTTTTGAATAAAGAACCTTTATTCCGTGGTAAGATTGAAAATTTGCTTGGTAACAGGGTTGTGTTTCTTAAACTATTTCTTAAACAAAGCAATTTGATGCCACTCTTACTCTCATAATGTGTGGCAGTCTGTTAAAAAGCTATATCCTGTAATGTGAAAATGTTGAGGACCTAAATAAATATTGATCATCTAGCTGCAATTTTGTTGTTGTTTTTAAAGGTTGCAGCTGTAAGATGATTGTAACTAAACTTTCATGGCCACTTGGTTTAAATAATTAAACTACGCACACACATTCAGTAGATATGTGAACCACTTGCTAGAATTATTAAAATAATTCGGATTGACATCAACTTCTTATATTAGACTTGATAATTTTCTAATGTAGTTCAAGAGAAGCTTTGAGCTCTTGTGAAGCAAACAATTTTTCCTGATAAAATCTTTTGGAGAACTTTGGGTTGGTATTGAGCTCGTCGTGTCCTAGTGGGCTTCTAGAGTGACCTGGGATGCGAGTTCGGTTCCACCACATTGCTCCAAAAAGATATTCTCAGATATATCACACTATTGTGGTTTCAGTGTGAACAAAAGGCACAAGACAAGCATCTATTAAGTATATTTTACAGTTTACACAGTAAAGATTTTTTGCTCTCTAAACTTTTGTTTAACGTGTCAACAGTTTACAGCTTGTGTGTGTTCCACTTGCGTAAATTATTTAACTACTGTAGTAACATGTGATTAATATATTAAATAGTTCATTAATATACTACTTTCTGTCAAATTTTAAAAGTAGATGTGATTGAATAAGACAACTACAACATTGTAGCAGGGATACAAGACTTGGAAGTAGATGAATATACTATTTTTTATCTGTATCCTATGGTTCAACAGTATGAGAATGAAATCTATTAATATAATTCAAGTAAATGGACTTCTGGTGATCAGTTAGACTCTTGATTTCAGAAATACTCTCAGGCATTTTCTGTTTATTTTAAAGATATTGACAAGACAAGTTTAAAGATGTATGATGATGTGTGGGTTAAACTACAGACATACAGTAAGTTCAAGGTCCATGATGAACGGGTCGACAGTGTGCCAGTTTAATATAATATTCGTCACATTAAAATTAAATTAGAATTGTGCGACTTGTCGAGTTGAAAGTAACGTAGTATGATAAGTGACCAACTATACCAAAGCTTTTTGTAGTGTTCCTGTTTGTTAACTGCTTTATTAGTAGTAGTGTACTTGATCAGTGGCATCAACATACTCCTCTTTTTGTTTTCTTGGTCTTGTTGCCAACAACTAAATTTTGCCTGAAATAGCATTTTTTTTTTTTAACCTGCTGAATGTTAATATAAACATTCTTCCCATATAAAGACCTGGTATAAAATCTCCATATTTTGTAATAATTTTTTCTATATGGATTTTATTCTGCATTAATACCATCCCTGTAAAATACCACTTAGTTTAGGTTCAATTATTGGTCATATTAGCCGACTTTTGCTGTATTAGATTGCAACACTACCAAAATACAAAATCTGATAAAGCTACAAGAATGTGGATGTACTGTATCTTTGAGATGTGGGTACCACCTCAGCTCAAAAATAAATACATTTTATATATATATATAGTGGGTCAGAATTTCCTACTCAGATTGGGTAGTAGATAAATGTGGATGACCCAGCCTCTTCATTCCTCATTAGGTTAGTATGACGTTCTTGCATCTTTGATCTGATTTTGTCTTCCACAAGGAATGCAATCAAATGGTAATTTTTTTCAAAATTAAATTATCCTTTTAAATTCTTTTAGTTCCACCATGCTAGTTCAAGCTCTAGTCTTAAGATTAACAAACAATTTTGTATGCATGTATTGATAAAATTTGTAGGTAATACCTTCCATTCCTGTCGGTAGTTTTTCTATGAACATTAAATATATCATTAATATAAGTTGAATATGATTTTCCATTTTCCTGTTACCCTAAATAAATTCCATGGATTAAAATAAACACTCATCACTGTTACTGGGACCCAAACAAGGTACAGTACATAAATTTTTAAGTTAACTAATTTTGACTTGTTTTTAAATTATTTTAATAAAAAATTAGTGTAATATTTTTTGCATATTTTTGCCAGCTGAAACATTCATAATAATTTATACAGTTATTGAGTAATTTCAATAGATTTTTGGTTGAAAGGATTTCTTATTATACAAATTTAAAACATAAAAAAATGTAATATTGTATAATTTAAGCATATTTTTCCTTTACTGTTAAATATATGTGATAGAAGGTGGGATGAATACATGTTATATACCTACTTTAGGCCAGAAAATTAACATTATGGGATTATGAATTGTCACGTTCCATAACATCTGCCCCTCAATGTGATACTGATAAGAATTTAATAATCACAACCATTGCCAAGGTAGGGGGTAATCTGACACATGTCAATCAATTGTACTCTTACCTGAATGGATAACACACCAGAAAAGTCTACGTAAACATAACGTATCAAGAAGGCAAATCTTTTTACCTAAAGAAAGAAATCAATTAGTGCACATGGTGGCTCATCTCACAGAGGCCAAACTGGATTTCCCAGTGTACAAGATGCCTAATTTACAAGGATACTTTGTGGGGAAAAACAATATTAGTATGTTTCATCTTAATGAAAGTGATGTTCAAGTGGTTTTGCAGGAAAACATATGATTTGGTGTACTTAAAAAATGGTATATATTTGATTGTTGGTGGGGCAAAAACATGCCTCATTTTTAGCGGCAAATATGGCAGGCATCCCCTAGTGAAATTTCTTATAGAGGTCTTCCACAGGGCTTTGGTTTCAGTCTTCCTTCGGATTGCATGCTGGTGATTCAGTGTTTCAGTAGAGAATGTTTAACTTGCTTCCTTTTCCTGTGGGGCTTGACTTAAAGGATATCCACTCTTCTGGCTTGAGAGTTAATCCCTCACTGCAGTTTTGTCTGATTTCAGTTCAACTCAGTTCAGGTGGACAGGGCCTCCTTCCTCTGGCTTTGAGAGATGTTCAGTTGTCCTTTAGAGGTGGACCGGTTTACCTCTGCACTGAACCAGTAGCTTCCTGTTTATGTAAGAGATTTTAATGGTGGAGAGATGTTATTTTGCCTGAACATTTGCCTTTTGCCTGTTATTTTTGCCTTTTGTCAGAGTCTTAATACACACAAAAATCACAATAGCGTGATGAATCAAATTAACAAATCCACAAGGGCCATGATGAGGGTTCGAACTTACGCCCGGGATGATCCCAGACGCTGCCTTAGTCGACTGGGCCCCAACATGGTCAAAAGAATTGCAACTGGGAATTTCACTGACTTCACATGGATCCTGCAACCTCTCTGAGACACAAACCAGGGTTTTACACAATTCCCCCATGCACTTGGGCTCTGCCAACAAGCTGTTCTACCTCTTCGCCTTCACTTCAGTATACACACAAATCACAATAGCATGATGACTAGTTGACTAAGGCAGCGTCTGGGATCATCCCGGGCGTAAGTTCGAACCATCATCATGGCTCTTGTGGATTTGTTCAGGGTCTTAAATTTACAGTACTTCTATTTCCCCCTCCATGTTCATTTATTTCTTCCCATGTTGTCCAGGTTGGAAACCTTTGTAGGCTATGCTCTTTTGTTAACTCTCACAGGGTCTATTCAGCCAGTGGTTTCCTACCCACTTCTGGTCTGTTATCTGAATTCCCTCCTATTCCCAAGGTTCTACCTCTCCCAGACAATCAGCGACATGACCTCCCAAGATGGTTTGAGGCGCTCTGCTGGTCTTAGTGAATGAAGTTTCTTGTGCTTGTGTACTGTCACCTATATGGGAATCAGGTGTCAGTATGTATGAGGTGGCTTGGCATATCTTCCATCTCTTCCTCTCTCTTTAGTCTGTATTATGTTTTGGTCTTCTTGTATATTGTCCATCATCTCTTGGCTCTTTGTGGCTCCCCCAGTTGATGGCTAATACTATACTGTACTGTACTGTTGCTTCATACCAGTTAGTCTTGGCAGACCCCCTCTCGCTATAATTTAGGGTGGAGGGATCACTACCCTCTCTCTCTCTCTCTCTCTCTCTTGCTGTTTTAGGCATTTTTCATCTCCGACTAGTTCATGCTTCTTCAGAATCTTCCTGACCTTTGGCATCTGTGTTGGATTTCCTTGTCCCTTCCTCACTTTCAGGTTATTCCCTCGGTTGAAGGACTTCCTTTTTTAAGGTGTCTTTTCTCTTGGTTGACCTGGTCACTCATCCACATACATATCCATATTCCCATTTCTCAGGGAAATGGGACAGGAGTCATTGCTGTAAACATCCAATGGCTAGAAAGGCGGGATCCAAGAGTCAATGCTCGATCCTGCAGGCACAAATAAGTGAGTACACATTCCTCATGAACCTCAACTATCTACGGGCTCACCACAGCTCGTGTTACTTGGAACTTTTTGTTCCAGGTAGCGAATCTTTAACAACAACATCATGAACCTTCATTTCTCCATGGAAATTCCAGGCTATCCTGTCACTGGTTTCTTTGATTTGTCTCATGTTTGCTTGTATCAATTCCAAACAATGCCTTCAACTATTTTAACTTTAACATTAGAGTACTTTGTTCTTTCTTGTTCCACAATGTTACATCATAAAGATCTTATCTTCATCCTTCAAAGTATCATGAAGAGTGATTATTGCTCACTACACTTTATACTTGTAGGTTATCTTGAGGTTATCTTGAGATGATTTCGGGGCTTAGCATCCCCGCGGTCTGGTCCCCGACCAAGCCTCCTTTTTTGTTACACACCCCCAGGAAGCAGCTCGTAGCAGCTGTCTAACTCTCAGGTACCAATTTACTGCTAGGTGAACAGGGGCACCAGGGTGAAAGAAACTCTGCCTATTTGTTTCCACCTCCACCGGGGATTGAACCCGGAACCTCAGGACTGCGAATCTGAAGTGCTGTCAGGCATCAAGTGATGCCAGATTCATCAGCTTTTATAACCTGTACTTTCTACTCAAAATTTATCACAACTTGTTTTATCTCCAGTTAGCTGGAAGACCTTACTGACACATTATCAAAATGTTCTGATGATGTGGTGGTAGGATGTTTTGTATTTTTTGTGAAATACAGTGAGAGGGTGAGAGGCAGGGGAAGCTCTTCAATGACTGCAGGGGGTACAAAAACAACAGGGTCTGTACAGATAACAGGTTCAGAGGTGTTGTTGCAGCACTCTTGGTGATTGGTTGCCAAACAACATAGGCCTCTCATCTCAGGCAGGGGACGGAAAAAACACGGCGGTCAGATCCATAATCACAGAGTTGGACTGATTGTAATGTACATGCAGATCAAACAGCATGAATGGTGAGTATACTCTATTTATTCTTGTTATACATCATAGTATATATTAATTGACATTAATTTATAAACACAGAAATTAATTAACATTAATTTCCAGTATTCAGTATTCTAATATTGACCCCAATCATATATAAACTGTTGTATGCAAATAAAATTAAAATTTGAATACTTTTCTTTTATAAGAGATAGAATCGTATATGAAAAGAGTGGGTAAAATGACACCAAAATTCTCCTCTCCTGAATAGGGCTGTTCTAGCATGTTCACAAGTTGTGTTTACATGCTGATTTTGCTGCTGTCAGCCACATGTGGCCAACAAGTATACATACATGTCGTTACATTACAGCACTTACACTTATTATTATACTGTACACTGTACATCAATTATTGTATATTTTCAACAAAATATGTTCTGTAATTTAAGGAATAATGTATTAGTACTGTACTATATATATTTACAACAAAAATTATAATTATTTGCGTACAGGGCCTTTACAATTACTGTGTATTTTTTCTGTGCTGGCTTCCTCGGTAGCTTGCCAGAGTTTATGGCACTGGTGTCCCAGCCTACCAGGACCAGGCTCTGTTTCCCCTTGAAGAGGCAAGGGATGCATGTGGGGCAATCAAGGCTCAATCCACTGCTTTATGAGGAAATAACACAATATAAAAAAAAAAAACAAGGCTAACAATAGTTGGCAATGGGTAAACAATGTTTGCCCTGACACGTTTAGTAACTTGTCAGGTTGCAGCCCAGGTCCTGAGACACATGAGTGGCAACCCTCCATAAATGCCATATGCAATTTACAATCATTATCCTATGCTTTCTCCATTACAAAATGTATTAATGCAGGTACATGATCAATGTAATATCTTCTGCTTCAGCACACACCTTTGTTCATCACTTACTAATTTCTCAGTAATTCTCTTGCCTTTTAATTATTCAACTTTATATTTATATTGGGTACAATCACAGATTTTATTTCAATTGGCACCAGTTTCCCATGCTGTATGGTAAATTTTCCACAATCATTCTTTTCCCTTTTATCAGATGCCTATATTCAGCAACACATACCTCATCAATACCTGCAGCATTTCAACATATCACCTAATGCACTGGTACTAGTATGTCTTCCACAGATACAGTTTTAATGTTCTGTACTGCACTCTTTTTACTCTAAACAAATTAATCTTATTCACAGGTCACTGAGTCAGGTCTTCTTGACCTGGAGTCGCTTTCTGATAACTACTTCTAATACTGTATATTCTTCACAGAGTAGCATTTTCAAACTTTTTCTAAAAATATCTTCTCGTTTTCTGAAAAAGAGATTAATTCTTTCCTGGAGGTGCTGAATGGTGGATCCCTGTTGCTAACTGCACTGAGATAGCTCCATGTCTAGAAGTCACATCAACACCCCGCATATCATTAAAAGCCTACCAGGAATCAGAGGCCAAAACCTGGACCTGTCAAAGAGGCTCAGAGAGCTGTGGATTCATAATCACCCTCACCAAAGAATCAAACCCCCAGAAAGTGAAGCATAACAGACAACTGCAAGGTTTACAAAGTAAACAAAGACTGCAACAAATGACTTGGCAGACGAACCACTTAGTAGTTGGGTCATACACTTTTTCCCTAGGGGCAACCGACCAGCACCAGGTGGCAGCACCATGGGAGCTGCTGTCTTTCCTTCAACAACCACAGTCATTTGCCTGATGTCAGACTTGTCTGACTGCTCTTCAGGTCCTGGAATAAAATAGATAAGCACTTCTTCCAGCACTGTGTTCTACCACATACTGTAACACTGTCCTTCAATGTCATTTTCACATGTTCTAAGACTACCATTATATCCATACATTTCTCAACACTCCACTAAGGAGGTTGCTGGTAAAAGTAACCCCTTTATTGTCAGTCACTTGTGTGAATAGCAAGACACGCAGATAAATCTCACTCTCACTACTCAGAGACCGCCTCACACTGGCATGTCACCAGGTTACTTCTACACTCAATAATGAAGCAGATTTATTGTGTCTGTTGATCGACCAGGGAAGAGTCCAGCTGAAACCAGACCATTCACCATCTCTCCCTCTCAGATTCAATAAGGAAGAGTGAGTAACTAGTAAACTCAGAGCCCCACAATGCTTAGGGCTGTTCGAAGCAACCAGTGTTGCCAATTCAAGGTGATGACTTTGGCCAACAACACTTATTGTTCTGGTCAGTCATAACAGGTCATCAGCACCCAATCCAGAGCTACATGGAACATATTGACACTTTGTTAAATTGTCCATAATATTGATTCTGTAACTTTTCGGATCATTGTAAAACTACCTTAAAATTCTTCATTCTCAGTTTTATCACATGGAGGATATACAATCTTCAATACCACTTAACCCTTTCAAACTTGAATATCAAACATAAGCACTTTGAATTGTTTCCATACTATTATTCATCAACACTAAACAACTGATTTTTGTTGTGCATTTATATTCTTTTACTTATTCCATTCTTCATCTTCATTTTCTTAAATCTTTGGATCACAAAAACAAAGACACTCAAAGATTTCCTCTTTGAAACCATTCATCACTTCCATCTTTTCCTTTTCTTAACATATTCCCCTCACATTTTACATGATTTAGTTCTTTATTCCTCCCAGATTGCTATATGATAACTACTTCATGAACTAAAGTACAGGCATCATAGGACAGTCTGAAGCATTGAGGTCTCTCACAGTTGCCTGCATTCATTTACTTTACCATAGGTGCTACTACAAGCAAGATGTCAGATCTTCGACTCCTGTTTGGCAAATTTCACATTCAATTTGCCAAGATTCTTGGAAGGGAAGTGACAAACAGCTAGATGGAACTCAACACCGTATGAAAGGATGATTAAGAGGTGAGAAGTTCTAACTACAAATTATCTTAAAACATTTATATATATAATAGAGGAATATCAGTGTTTAAGATATAAAAAACTTTTCAGAAAACTGTATACAGTACAGTATTTGATTTAAAAACTAATGCAAGAAACAATATTAGCTTGTGTCCAAAGTATTATTACCCAAACCTATGTTTTATTATAATAAAAGGGAGTTCTGTAAAGAATAATGTAGACTGTATAGCACACATTTTGGTTTTGTTGACAAGTATGAGCAACATGTGAAGATGACGGCAGCAACAAAGAAAATTAGCTGCAATTGACAACAAAAGCACAGAAAGTTTGAGCTTACTTAGCCACTGGCAGAATCTCGGCTTGAATCCTGTGAACTTAATGTTGCATCAGATGATATAGTTTAGTTCAGTTTAGTTATTTTGAAAGCCATACCCATACCCATATAAATGTGAGAGTAACACATTTCAACCCGTTCTCGCAAATTCGTAAAGTCAATATTGACTTATTAACTACGTGCATAGGTGATATACTAAACATAATAGATACCCTTAAAAAGATTCATAGAAAACACCGACCTTACCTAACCTTGTTAGTATCTTAAGATAAGCATCTTATTGCTTCGTAATTACAATTATTACTTAACCTATACCTATTATAGGTTAGGTAATAATTGTAATTACGAAGCAATAAGATGCTTATCTTAAGATACTAACAAGGTTAGGTAAGGTCGGTGTTTTCTATGAATCTTTTTATGGGTATCTATTATGTTAAGTATGTCACCTATGCACATATTTAATAAGTCAATATTGACTTATTAAATTTGCGAGAACGGGTTGCACATTTATGGCTAAAAAATGCACCGCTTAAAATTAATGTGTCAATTTTGGAGATATAGTACATTTCAGTGGAAGGATTATGGGAAATTCTGGCAAATAGCTACATCTGAAGGGTAGAATCCCAGCTGTGTTTACAGAACCTCACTCAAAATAGGATCCATTACTCATTATCACAACTGTATTTCTGACAGCATCAGTGGGATGAGGCATTGTACTTTGTCTCAAGATGATGCTTGAACTAGTCTTTGTTTGTTGGGTGGGCAGGGAGGAACTGTAACTTGGATGGGGGTACTTTTCTTTGGTACAATGAGGTGCTGTTGCTTTCTCAAAGATTGTAATTGAATTAAAAAAATATCAGGTTTATAGTGCTTTATTCCATTTTGAAGGATGTTGACTTTCAGTAAAGGTCTGGGAGGCTTTTGTGCAAGGGTTTAAATGAGTTTGCATAAGCACTTTGATACAATTAAAGATTTAATTATCACCGATACTTGAAATATCTAGTTCCTTCTTCAGATTAAGGAATTTTGTGATGCAGGGATATCCAAGGTTGATTCGCATTGCTCATTTTAAAATATTTGGAGCTCTCATGCATTACCTGCTTGATGGGGTTCTGGGAGTTCTTTTATTCCCCAAGCCCAGCCCGAGGTCAGGCTCGACTTGTGAGAGCTGCACTTTTCATAAAATACACAAACAGGGGTGCAAGAATTTGAACGTATCTTTCATTATTAGGGGCAACTATTTGTGCAATATTTCTTTTTCTAGAGAATGCTTCATTGTGATGATTGGATGCCTAAAACTTTAAACCAAAAGACAGCTTATCATATTCAGTTGCTCTCCGAGGTAAATATACATTTTATCATTTGACCAGGATGATACACAGGATCATACAATCAATATATCATTTTGGCTGAATTTATTCAAGAATGATTAGCATAAAAACTGAAGACTGGACTCTCCTTTGGCATCGCAGGTGACTACTAGTTGCTCTGCCTAGCCACCTTCTCCCACCATCTCCAGGTGGCAGCAGTATACACGCTTCTAGTTTCTCCAGATTTATTGCAAGTAGAGCTTAGCTGCACTAGGTGGTTAGGTGAATTTGTGTTGTAATGTATTATTATTATGTTTGTTTTGGTGCCAGAAAACATAGTTCAGTGTAGTAATTAAATATAGTCGGCCACGCGCTTTCCAAGCCCCTTGAGACTGAGACTGAACGGATAACCTGTTGTGTTCGGATAAGTGGGGTATATGTATTTATATGAATGTAGTTTAGTGGTGTGATGAAGGGTACTCACCTAGTTGTGTTTGTGGGGTTGAGCTCTGGCTCTTTGGTCCTGCCTCTCAACCGTCAATCAACTGATGTGGCGATCAATTGAATATTGCGATTAGCACTGGCGAATGTCAATGGTGTTAGAGATGGTCTGTGATACATTCAGAGCATGTGTCACTGAAACACTGATGGAGTTAAAACTAGACTTTCTGAGTGATTGATTGATTGATGAAGATTAAGCCACCACAAGAGGTGGCACAGCCATGAATAGCCCGTAGGTGGTAGATGTTTGGAGTGAATGTGGTCTTTGGTGGTGTAACATCTTAAAGTGTGTCTGGGCCTGCTAGACTTTGTGATTGATGATTGATGAAGAATAAGCCACCCAAGAGGTGGCACGGGCAGGAATAGCCCGTAAACTGTTAGTGGTTCTAATGGTCTTTATATTCCCATTCCCCCTGAACTGTTTTCCAGGCCCAGGTTGTTTGTAACTTGGTTTGTGGGAAACTGCTTGGCTCCTGGAACTTCTTGGGAACATATATGAATGTAATTACAGATGTCATTAGTGGCAAATAGGTTTGTGGATGTCATGGGATTATTGGGAACTTTTAATTAACTGACTGCAATAAAATTTCTGAGAATTTGGAATACCTTTAGGATAATTTTAAGTAACTGGCACATTATCTTTAATGTGGTTTGCTAATGTTACTCATTAGAAAGTCTGTAATCAAAGAGACATTGAGTAAAGATATCCCGAGCTTGTGAAAGCCAGTTTTGTTTCGTTAGTGGTAAAAAAAAATGCAGAGAAGTTAGAATAGTGATTATTCATCATTTATACATTCAGGGCTCTATTTATAAATTCTAATAAGGTTTTTCTCTTGATTAAGATGTCTTCTGTGCTTCTCTAAATTCATATTAACCTCCATGCTGCTAAATGATTGTCTTTTTGTTTCCTTTATCATAAATAAACCACATATAACACTAACCGTATCACACACAGGCAAAGAGTCACAATAACGTGGTTGACGATATGATGACCAAACCACACACCAGAAGATGAAGAAACGATGACATTTCGGTCTGTCCAGGACCATTATCAAGTCATATGTAAACACATTTGTATGCTAGAGATACAAGTGTGCAAATTGAATGCTATTTGTGAGAAAAGCTTTAGAAATGTACATTTTTTCATGACCAATTGAGCATCAACCTGAATTAGTTAGGTGTGTTAGTGTAGGATCATTGTGATAATTTACCAAATATTAATTTGATCTTGGAATAATGATTATAGCTTGTGAATTTTTGTCAAATTAGACATTTTCCATGCATGTCTTGCATTTAGGAACCATGGGTTAATATAGAATATAAAGGGTTGCTTAGATTTTTATTTGGAAGTGTAATTGTACAGTAATTGTAATTCGTTTCTTAATATAAATCTCTCTTGCTGCCAAGCACAACACAACCTATTTCTCAGACTACCTATGCTTCAAACATGGAGGTACAAGCATTATTTTACATGTAGGAGTAGACATCATCAGGCAATGTTAATAAACCCTCATTTTATAATGAAGCATATTAAAAAATGAAAATAAAGTGAAAGGTAATGCAGAGACCTTCACATGAAAGTATTTTATATAATAATTGATACACATTAAAAAAAACAAGTCTCTCACTGGAATGAAAGATGCCATTCTTTAATCTCTAGCACTTAGTACAGTATTGTATTTTGTATTGAATATAAACTGTGTATATACTGTATATATATATATTCAATTATTCACTGAATCATCCGTGAACTAGGTGGGGTTTGAGTATACACGTGCAGGGATGTTGTACGTGCTGCTCTAGCCATTGGACAATGAACTCTCATAAGCAAGATTGACTGCAGGATAGAGGACACAACCCAGTCTACACCTTGCTGAGATGCCACGATGGTAAACAGTCACTGTCAACCCCTTCATGCCCTCATCACACAGTGAAGGCACTAGCCAACAGGACGGGTGTGTGGTCTGTGGATAGGGTTGCTTAATGCCACCTAATGACTTTCATGTAGTGTGGAGAGGGAAATGAAGTATAAAATTAATGTGCCATATGTAAAATATGAATTTGGTAAAGTATTCCACAGAATGAGACTCGTTTGAAAAAAATGTAAAACAAAGTGAGAATTACAAAGCTCTGAAGAACTCTTCCTTCAAATATAATGTACAAGAAAAAACCCTGGGATAGAAAGATAACAGGTAATATCCAAAATGATTAGGATAAGGGAGAAAAAAAAGGATTAAAGGGAGGAATTTGAGACACAGGAGTAAGAAACAAATGAGGAGACAAGTGAAAAAAAGGGAGTGAAGGAAAGTGGAGACAAGGGAAGGGGGAGGAGACCTGAAAAAAAGGAGGGATATGGACACTAGGGCAAGGTGTTGAAAAGACAGAACAAATGGAAAAGGAAATAACTTACAAGCACATTTTGACACCTATCACAATCCTGACCTTTAGTGATACACAGAACAAAGCCTTGCTACTACCTGTTTTCTGAATCATCTTAAGGTACATAGAACACAAGACAGCGGGGACCAGTGTACTATTATGGTGTGGAGAGACTCAAGGGAAGTAGGAGAGGACCTTGATACAATAAAGAGATGAATGAGAAGTTAAATTTAACCCTTGGTAGCCATGAAGAATCTGGCGCGACGTTGATATGCAGAGAAATCTACTGGATTCAACATCGGCCTGCAAGAATAAACAAAATTTTCTGTACAAATGACATTCATAATTAGTACAGTATTTCTTTTAAACTAAGCCTCATGAATGGCAAAGTACCCTATTGTACTCAGTAACACAGTTAAAGGAAGGAGAAAGTACCCCTGCTTAGTATAGTATACAGGTCCCAGGGCCTGGAATAAAAGTGCATTTACAAGTGATTTTATTATATTCTCTGGATGATGCCTGTTATTCACTGAAAAATAAAATAACTTCATTCAAATAGCAATTGTGTGTTAATAAAAATTCGAAATTAAAATCACAAAATACAGCCTTGTTAAAGCTATATTATTTTTGCATTGCAGCTTCACTTATGATTTTCTAAATTAACTTTACCTCCAATTTAATTTTGTCACTACAGTACATTTCATTTATTATAGTTTTATTCTATTATAATTATTATTTTTGCCAGTCCTTTTACAATTTGAAATAATGTTTCGACCAACACGGCAATAAGAATAATGTATGTTCATTAGTTTTAAGAACTAGCATATGATTTTTAGTACAGTACTGTAATAAACTCTAAACACTTATTTATGTGAAGGATATTTCCTAAAATGCAAACTTTAGCATCATACTTTGTACTTTGAAAAATAAAGTATTAATATTATTGCTATTTAGTGATTGCTACCCTAGCAAAGATTGGATGGTGATAATGGGATGGCAAAATTAATGGTAACCAACAATGGATATATATGGATATGATGGTGATATTAAATATTTCGGTGATAATCACAATATTGAAAATGGTAATGATAATGATGATAATTACAATTGAATATGGTGGTGGTGATGAATCATATTCACATCAGAAGTTGACAAGTATAATACTACAGGTGATGGTAGTGATATTAATGCTAATGTTACAGTATGCACGAAAATATGACCAAAACACCAGATAACATCTATCAGATCACTGCTAAAAGTGATTTTATGAGAGAAATTCTTCAGTAGCTTCCTGAACTTATCATCACAGGTACCACCATACCATATCCCAGTACACCAGGCTTCAGAAACCTGTCCATCCCCAACTGAAAACCAGGGCCATAATCTGGCTCACAGTATGAGTCAAGGGAAGCAGGGCATTAGAGATTGACTGCGACTAAACTAGAGATCGACTGCGACTGAACTAGGGGAACTAGAGATCGACTGAACTAGGGGAAAATCCAGCAAAAATTATAGGTATAACACAAGCAACTGTCTGAAATCAATAAAGAATATAAAAAAGGAACCAGCAGATGGTCTATTTTCCTATATGTGGCAGCTCTTACCACTCAAACTCACTCATATGTCATTCACCTTGGGCATTGTTTGCCTCGAACACGCATCTTCTGATGCGAGAGGCAGATGCTCTACTGACTGTACTATGGGTTAGCCTTTAAAGAGAAGACTCTCAAGGCAACTAACTGCTGCCCAGATGGGAACTGCCTATCTCTGTGGCTACCACTTAAGCACAGAAAGGTTTGGAATACCTATATTTGGAATAAACTGTATACCACTACCGTGGATGTAACATTTCATTCACCTTGGGCACTAGGTGCCCCCGTCCTCCGATGTGAGAGGACGGATGCTCTGCCGGGTGTTTGAGGACAGAGAGGACGGGTGTTCGAGGCACCCAAGGCAAATGAAATGTTACATCCATCAAGCAGGTATCACAGTAGTGATACCTGGTTGATGGGGTTCTGGGAGTTCTACTCCCCAAGCCCGGCCCGAGGCCAGGCTTGACTTGTGAGAGTTTGGTCCACAAGGCTGTTGCTTGGAGCGGCCCGCAGGCCCACATACTCACCACAGCCCGGTTGGCCCGGCACTTTTTTTTCTAGAAAACAATATAGTTTTATCTTGAAGATGTCCACAGTTGTTCCAGCAATATTTCTTATGCTCGCTGAGAGCACGTTGAACAACCGTGGACCTCTGATGTTTATACAGTGTTCTCTGATTGTGCCTATGACATCTCTGCTCTTCACTGGTTCTATTCTGCATTTTCTTCCATATCGTTCACTCCAATACGTTGTTATTTTACTGTGTAGATTAGGGACCTGGCCCTCCAGTATTTTCCATGTGTATATTATTTGGTATCTCTCTCTCTTCTCCTTTCTAGTGAGTACATTTGGAGAGCTTTGAGACGATCCCAATAATTTAGGTGCTTTATTGCGTCTATGCGTGCCGTATATGTTCTCTGTATTCTCTCTATTTCAGCAATCTCTCCTGCTTTGAAGGGGGAAGTGAGTACTGAGCAGGACTCAAGACGGAACAACACAAGTGATTTGAAAAATACAACCATTGTGATGGGATCCTTAGATTTGAAAGTTCTCGTAATCCATCCCATCCTATCAAACTGTACACACACTGTATATCCAGTGTGGTATACAGTTTGTCACTGGTGTGTGTGTGTCTCATCACGATTAAGCAATCCATCTCTCCTACGTCTAATGTCACTCCAGCTTTGTTTACCAGGTCCTGATTGCATCCTTGTCATCAGGAAGTGCCAGTGCAGCTGTTAAGGAAGTACAACATGTCACTGTATGCTTTAAGCTTCGTCAATCAACTACCGATGCCTTTGCAGTTATTCAATTTTTACTAGTTAATCTTTGCTTTTATTAAGCCTACTCCAGTAATCGGTTAACATTAAGTGGAATCCATGGATGTCAGTTAGCCTGTGTGCCCAAGTATAAAACTAATTTTACACCTGTGTTAGTAAATACATTTAAACTGCCTGCCTATTTTATCCCAACCATGGTGTAATACACACACCAATTTATAGACAAGCTGTTATTCTACAATTTAAAAAAACATCTCTGAACATGTCAAATCACTGCAACGCTAACATCTTCAACGAGAAGTGCTGATGCCAACACTTGTAGGACCAAGGCATCTTGAAGGTCCCGTACTTCTCTCTCCTGTACACTGGTTGAGCACTATTGGTTCTAGCATAATAAGAGCATGGGTGACCACATGGACACACCTGTGCCCTTAACCAGGTGTATACACATTTACAAATACTACACAAGTACCTTGTACATGTACACATCTTGTAAGAACAAACACTGCAATAAGTACAGTGGTCTTATATAAATAGAGGAACCTCGATTAATGAGCGGCTCTATTTATGAGCATTTCCAGTAACGAGCGAGCCACTTGCAGCAAATTTGTCTATTAACGAGCAAAACCACATGGTGCTTCCTAGCGTCTCGCGGGTTCTCGTAAATTCTCGGACGCCTCCGACGCCAGTGTTGTTGTTGTATCGCACACGACAAGCATCCCTCTGTATTTATTTGTGCTTTTCTTTGTTTTTTTGTGGTTTTGTGACTACAATTTGTAACGCACGATGTCGTCAAAGCTGCTTGCTAAAGATAGTGTTGTCAAGATGAAGAAAGACACAATTACTGTAGATTTGAAGACGGAAATTACAGCAAAGAATGAGCGTGGTGTCTGTGTGACTGATCTCACAAGGGAGTATGGCAGGGCCTCATCAACAATTTGCACCATTAATAAGGAGATGAGGAGGTAAGGGAGGATGCTGTCTCTTCCAGTGAGATCAGGGAAGTGTTGGGAATGTTTGAAAAGGTGACCGCAGTCTTGGAAAAGCATCACCCTGATAAAGCAGTGACAACCCGGTGTGTGAACATGTTTAATGACAATTTGCTGTCTCGTTTTAGGAACATCCTAAAACAAAGACAAAAGCAAGTGTCAATAAATACGTTCTTTGCAAAAGTAGAGAAAAGGATAGCCAGTGATAGTGAACCACAACCCGGTCCCAGTGGGGTGAAATTCCCAAGAATTGAGAGCCCGCCTGACTCAGAGGTGGATTCTCCTTCCCACCTCCCCATCGTCTCCCTCAAGCCAGCAACGACTCTTCATAAGGTAAAGTAAACATGAAAACAGTACAACAAAACATTTATAATTACATGTGCAGAATTATATTTACATAAAAAAAATGTCATACAAGTATGGATGTTTTTGGGAGTGGAACGGATTAAATTTATTTCCTTTATTTTAAATGTGGAAATTTGTTTCTTAAGACGAGTTTTCCAGATAACGAGCTCGGTGCCAGAACGGATTAAACTCGTTAATAAAGGTTCTAGTAGCCCATAATGAGCATTACAAAAATCTAAAAATTCCTGAACTAAATCATAAGAATCCCCTGTGACTGAGAAGTTAAGGCTTGCAACGGTATGCACCAAGTCACAATAAACCAAAAGCACAACAGTGAACCATATTCATGCTTCAACCAACCCGTCTTTGTCTTTGTTTGGAGGACGGGCTGGCTTCAATAGTTCCAATGAACGATCTCAGTCGCCCCGATCCTTCCAATGCGTGTCCACCCAGCCGGTTCTCCACACTCACAAGTGATTCCATGCCCCCGCCAAACCCCCTGTTATGAACGAAAAACGGTTTATACACGACTCACAACTGATTTCGTTCGAACACTTCCTGAACAAATGCTGCACTGACGAATTTTGTTCGAACCACAATGCTGTAAACAGCCTGTCCTCCAAACAAAGACCCACAAGTGATTCCCGTGCACCCGCCAAACCCCCCCCCCCCGTTTATGAATGAAAAACAGTTTACACACGACTCAACTGGTTTCGTTCGAGCACTTCCGCAACAAGTACTCACCTAATTGTGCTTGCAGGGGTTGAGCTTTGGCTCTTGGGTCCCGCCTCTCAACTGTCAATCAACTGGTGTACAGATTCCTGAGCCTACTGGGCTCTATCATATCTACATTTGAAACTGTGTATGGAGTCAGCCTCCACCACATCACTTCCTAGTGCATTCCATTTATTAACTACTCTGACACTGAAAAAATTCTTTCTAACGTCTCTGTGGCTCATCTGGGTACTAAGTTTCCACCTGTGTCCCCTTGTTCGTGTCCCACCTATGTGGGACTGTGCTTCACTGACGAATTTTGTTCGAACCACAATGCTGTAAATGCTTCACCCACGTACTACAAATACAAATAATCGCCAACAGAACCTAAACACCTAACCTAACCTAATTTATGCCTATATGTGCACAATATGCTTATATATTATAATATTAATTTATATTTTTAAAAAATTCCCGTTTAGAGTGAACAGCATGAAACAAAGTTTGAATGCGTCTGTGGGGTCGACCGCTCTATGTAATGGACTTAAGTCGAGGACGGGTTGCGGTGGGCCTCTCTCTCTCCCAAGACTACACTCTAAACAAAACAAAATCAAGTTTATTTTTTTCACTTTTATCCACACTAAAATCATTCCGTGGTTCTCAGAGGATGATGAATAGGTAAAATTCATAAATCCCTCGCACTAGGCGGCTACTTCCATATTGGTTAAAAAGGCGCACTAGAAACTGTCAACATCTCTCTCCATTGATCAAACTCTTATTACATTGACCCAGCTGCCTGCTGCCATTCTGGGGAGGTTGGGATAGATTGGGAGAGGGCGAGAGGGAATAATGATCGAGGAGGGTGAGAGGGCAGCCCGTTAAGGAATGGGAGAAAGAGAAGGGATAGAGAATTGAGGGTGAGATAGAACAGAGAGATGGAATGTGAGAAGGAATTTACGAGTATATAGACTGCAGCCATACAACTCTATCGAACATAAAGGAATATACTGTATAGGTACCTCAACCCCTTCCCCCTTCCACTTCCTAAATGAACCCATTAAACACAGCAAGTATGACAATATTTCCTCCCTGATTTCACTGCCCTTTCTTCCCTGTTGTAAGCCGCTAGCCTAGCTGTCTTTCTCCCTTATATTTGAAAAGTCCCTCCATCCGATTGGTACAGCGATGACCATGTATATTTAATGCAGGGTCACGTTCGATACCCCATAGTCCACGTAAGTCAGTGGACACTGTTTCTTCAAGCAACACTTGATAACCCACCTCACTCTTTTTTTTGTATTGCCTTCTCCTTCAATCATTACAATCGACTTGAGAATGGTCCAGGACGGACCGAAACGTCGTCGTCCCTTCACTTTTTAGTGTGGTCTGGTCAACATCATTCTCTTTTTCTTAATTACCTTACTTTACCTTGCAATCGAAACGTCATTATATTAAATCACGTTTACATGAAATTTATTGTAAGTCTACCATTCGTAGACGTATTGTGTAAATACACACATAGTAGGTCGCTTACATTGTTCTACAAGATTATGTTAGGTATATTTGGTGGTGCAAATATTTCCAAACTAGGATGAATGCTTGTAACAAGTGTTAGTACTTACCGAGGAGGGCGGATCGGCTTCTGGGCCAGGGCATAGGCTAGGGAGAAGAGTCCTATGCCTCGCTTGGTTGTTTTATGTCGTGGCTGCCCAGGGCCTGCCCAGGGCCACCTCTCTCCGTCACCCTGGCCGCTGTTCCTGATGGACCCGTCACCCTGGCCGCTGTTCCTGATGGACCCGTCATCCTGCCCGCTGTTCATAATGGCCCCGTCATCCTGCCCGCTGTTCATAATGTCTCCCTCACCCTGGCCGCTGTTCATAATGTCTCCCTCACCCTGGCCGCTATTCATAATGGCCCCGTCACCCTGGCCGCTGTTCATGCTGCCTCCAACATTCTGGTTGAGACTGCTTCTGCTGGTTCCGTCACCCTGATTGGTGCTCGTATTGGCCCTTTCACCCTGGCCGTTGTTCCTGATTGCTTCGTCACCCTGATCGGTGCCTACACTGACTCCCTCACACTCTCTCCAGCTTCTGCCAGCCTCCACAGCCCATGACGGCCACATAATATTGCCCTGGTGAGTGAATGGAGTTGCAATAGGCTTTTGTGGCCACAGTCCTCGTTCCTCCAGCCACCGAGGATATATCCTGAAAAAGGGTTGAGACTGAAAATATCACAGCAATAGATCACAAGTTCATTAACGGTGGATTCAGCAATACACAAAATCGATTAAAATTCTCTCGACCCCTTTCTCCATTTTTTTTTAACCGGATTCACCTCTCCCCAATTTTTTCCCCCCCAGATTCCATATATCAAATTTCTGAGCTGAGAAAAATATTGGACAAATTAAACGAAAATAATCACATGTGGATAATTATTTTATAACAATATTAGCTATGCTTTAGACAAAATTTTATTAAAATATTCAACAAAATCGGTTATTCAAATAACCAAAGTTATTCTTAAAACACTAATGTGTGTCGCGAGAGATGTTCTCTGACACGTTTAATAATAATAATATTATTATTATTAATAATTTATATCTGGGGACAGGCGGACAGTGTATCCATACACGTCAGGCTTATATTGAAGCCATTCCCCTCCCCCCCTCCCTACCAAGGACGAGCCACTAACCTCTCCACATATGTAACCTTACAACAGGCTGATGACGCCTGAGGGTACCTATTTACTGCTAGGTGAACAGAGAACAGAAGTGATAAGAAACGCGCACAATCACTTCTGATCCTCCGGGGATTCGAACCCGGAATTACCGATTGTGTTACCAGGACTTTAATGTTTACTACCAGTGTGTGAGAGGCGGTGATCACAGCTGACCTGGAATTGTATAGGAATTGCAGCGGTAAATGTGAATTGTATTCTTAGCAAATTCATTCGCCAATCCACGTGTCTCTTGTAAAGAGAGTTCCATGTCAGGAACTATAGTTGAGGATATTTGTTAAGACCAGTCGTCTCTCTCCTCTTTACAGGGAGAGAGACGACTGTCAAGGGCCCACGTGGCCTTGACAACCACAGCTGTCACTACCGCTGTTCCATATAACAAAATCCTGAAACAAACCTGTAAGCAAAACACACACACACACAAAGGACAAGCTGCAGGAATGGTCGAACAAATGGTTGTTAAGAGTTTAACCCAAGCAAATGTAATGTAATGAAGATAGGGGTAGGAAGCAGGAGACCAGATACAAGGTATCATTTGGGAGATGAAATACTTCAAGAGTCAGAGAGAGAGAAAGACCTGGGGGTTGATATCACGCCAGACCTGTCCCCTGAAGCTCATATCAAGAGGATAACATCAGCAGCATATGCCAGGTTGGCTAACATACGAACGGCCTTTAGAAACTTGTGTAAGTAATCTTTCAGAACATTATATACCACATATGTCAGACCAATCCTGGAGTATGCGGCTCCAACATGGAGTCCATATCTAGTCAAGCATAAGACTAAACTGGAAAAGGTTCAAAGGTTTGCCATCAGACTAGTACCCGAGCTGAGAGGTATGAGCTACGAGGAGAGACTACGGGAATTAAACCTCACTTCGTTGGAAGACAGAAGAGTTAGGGGGACATGATCACCACATTCAAGAATCTCAAGGGAATCGACAGGGTAGATAAAGACAGGCTATTTAACACAAGGGACACACGCACTAGGGGACACAGGTGGAAACTGAGTGGCCAAATGAGCTACAAAGATATTAGAAAGAACTTTTTTAGTGTCAGAGTAGTTGACAAATGGAATGCATTAGGGAGTGATGTGGTGGAGGCTGACTCCATACACAGTTTCAAGTGTAGATATGATAGAGCCCAATAGGCTCAGGAACCTGTACACCAGTTGATTGACGGTTGAGAGGCGGGACCAAAAAGCCAGAGCTCAACCCCTGCAAGCACAACTAGGTGAGTACACACACACACGACCTGGCGTTGGGTTACAGTATGGCTACATAATCTACATAGAAGCACAAACCAGTGAATCTGTACGATGGTACAACATGGTTGCAGCTGGCAATCCCAATCATTATGGCCGAAGAGTAGGAGGACGCGGGAGAGAATCAGTAATAGCGAGAATCCGTCTTGGATACAAATATCCATGGAGATATGGAATGGAAACAACAGTTGATCAGCGAAGTTGCAGAATCTGTGGTGAGAGTGATGGACACCGCCTTGACCACTACGTGAATGTGAACACCTGAGAGACATCAGAAATATGTGTAGAATAATAAATCCCGCATTGTTTGAGTTAGGAAACACTATTTGTCAAATATAGATACTGTTCTTAAAAGATTTCCCCATTTTGCACCCGCAAGATAACGTAAGCTTTTAAGGGTTGATAGATGTTAATCTTCTTGTTTGAGGAGCTGTTCACTTGAGACAGTTAAGCAAGTCCCAGCTGTGTCTGGGGTACAAGTGACAGGATGAACAACCCAGCGGGTTTTCTTCCTATTGGGGAGTGTTGTACATGCTGCTATGGCGGTATGTTCACTCACAAGATGAGTGGCGCTGCCCAATAAACTCGTCCCTCGGGGCAAAATTTAAAAAAAATCTACATGATACCATAAGGATACAGCACGTCAACACCAGGTATGAATGGTATGGGTCGCAGAACCAGCTGGCGTTGCCCCAAGCCAGGTAGCTAGTAAGCAATAGAACAACATATAATTGTACATTAATTACGAGATTGCTATTTACAAAACTTAGAGCAAAAGGGAACTCACATCAACAGCTGAGAGAGGACGCGGGCGTGGTGGCCGCCATCTTGGTCCAGGAGCGGCGGGCGGTTGTCCTCTTTCCCTGTCAACATATACATAAATATACAGGTTACTTTATTACTTATTTTGTTATTATTATCTGGTGTTTGTAGCGGCAGTGAACGAATGACAAAACAGAACAGTTGTGGTTTACAGATTTGTGTAGTAATTGTAATATGTGTATATCATATTATGTAATATACGTTGTATATTACATATACCAAGCCAATCCTGGAGTATTCTGCTCCAACGTGGAATCCATATCTAGTCAATTTACGAGACAAAATTGGAGAAGGTTCAAATGTATGCCATCAGGCTAGTTGCAGAGTTATGGGGAAGGATAGATACCTGATCAACCAGGCTGTGACTCATACGTCAGGCTGCGAGCAGCCGCGTCCAACAGCCTGGTTGATCAGTCCGGCAACCAGGAGGCCTGGTCGACGACCGGGCCGCGGGGACGCTAAGCCCCGGAAGCACCTCAAGGTAACCTCAAGGTAAGGAGTTACGAGGAAAGGCTACGTGAATTGAACCTCATGTCGCTAGAAAACAGAAAAGTTGGGGAGACATAATTACAACGTACAACATTCTCAGGGGAATTGATAAGGTAATTAACACACACGGGGCACAGGTGGAAACTGCGTACCCAAAATTGTTAAAAATATGGACGTTACCCTAAAATATGACTAGAAAAACATCCGTGTTAGGAAAACAATGAATAATGTAGACTACGAGTTAATGTTTAAGTAGTGCGTTTTTAAGGTAAGTTTCATTAGAAAGGCAACCAAGTCAAACTATCGTAAATGTTTAAGGATAATTAATTATTGTTATCCTCCACGATAACTGATACACGTTTTGGTATTGCGCTTTAGACCTATCAAGCGCTGAAGGGTCATTATATTTTGTTTTAAGAATCAGGTACTGGGAACATTCCAATTTTTTTTTTATTTTTATTTTTACATGCAAGCATGCGTATAATGTACAAGAAAAACAGAACAAATATAACAGAACAAAAGTACAAAGCACACATATGTACAAGGACAAAGGAACAAATCAATAGAAGACCAGCCAGAAGGGCTGACCACAAAACAAAAATGCATATACAGACAATACACAAACATAAACACAGTGTAAGACAAACATAAGGGAAAACCCCAGGACAAAATGCACACAAAACAAACCTGCTAACACCTCAAACACATTCAGAGAGGCGAGAAACATACAAGAATAAGGACAATAACAATAAAGAAAACAGATCCGCCATAACAAACGGAAGGCAAAACATAAAGAGCACACGCCAACAGCCAGAAGGGCACACAATATGACAAGCGCACACGACATCCATAACCAAACACACAAACGCATATGAACCGCACACCCCCCCACGAGCCATACAAAAAAACCCACAAAACAAACCGGAGCACGCAGGAACCGGGAAACAATACCCACCCCACCCACTCACATACACACCCCACAACCAGGCAACACAAAATACATAGAAATCACTTGCGAGGAACATCGAGAGAAACGTACTTCTCCGGGAACAGCTCACGAGGATATTTCAACTTGTAAGCTTCCCAGACGAGATCTTCAAGGTCGGTAGGGTTTTTGATCCCCCGCGCTCGAGCGGGTATCATAAACTCGGGAACATCTATATCTGGCGGCATCGGCCAATGCCTAAGGTCACTGACGCAAGTCGCATAATGAGGCTGGGGAGCGCCAACCACGCCCTTCGAGGAAGCAGATGACACCGGAGAAGCGGACGAGGGACGCCGAGCCTGCCACGCCTTCGCCATCGGAGCAGGTGTCGGACGCTGAGACGATAGCACCTCCACGGATACCGCAGGAGACACGGACGGGACTGCAGGAAACGGAAGAGGCGGCAAGACCGCTGCCGAGGAAACGGGCAACGAGGAAGGGGCCACAGAACATCCAGAGCGAGCATCCTTTCTCAACATCACCACCAGGCCACCCCGCTCACCACCAACTACAGCAGGGGGAAACACCGCCCACGAAGAACCGGAGCCATCCGACGCAGGCAACGCACCTGAAGCAGGATCCTCGGACACCGGACCAGAAGTGGAGGCCGAGACGCTGGCACCGGCATCCTCAGGCAAGTGTACCTCCGCCACCACCGTAGTGTGCACCACATCCGGAGCCACCCCACCGTCAACGGAAGGACGACACTCGTCGAATTCGCCAACTTCAGCCCACACAGAAGAACGCCGGGAACGCTTAGGCTCGGGCCGCCCATCATCAGACCCGGAGGCAGACTCAGCGACCCGCGCAGCACCAACCGAGCGAACCGACGCACGCCGCAGCACGGCAGCCTCCTCAACCACACGGGGCACCAGGCCAGGCACAGGAGGGAATTCCGGATCCACCTCAGCTCCCAGCACAGCCGGAACAGACGGCGAGGGTGCAGGGACCGGGACAGACACAGCAGAGGAAGAACTGGAAGACGAGGGGCCCGAGCAAATGGCAGGCGGAAGAGGCTCAGGGACACCAGCTGGAGCACTAGGCGAGGACCCAACCTCCGGAAGAGATGCGGCAACAACAGGGGGCGCAACAGGCGGAGCAACAGCTGCTACAGAGGGCACCTCCTCAGCCGAAGAGACGTCCATACCCACCGAATCATCCCCCACAGGAAGGGGCGGAAAATCCTCCTCACTGAAGAGATTCACTGGTGCAACAGGAGGCGCAGAACAGTCAGCAGCCTGATGGCCCAAAAGACCACAACGATAACACGTCCGCGGCTGACGGGCGTAAAACACCCGAACGTTGTACCCCATAAGGCGCACAGAGGACGGAATATCCGCCCGGAGTCTCATGCCCAGGGTGCGAATGTTAGACCTCACACCCTTAAGAGGACTAGAAGACACCACGTTCACTCTCACACTAACAACTGCGCCAAACCGCCCGAAATACCGCCGTAGCAGAGCCTCTGGAAACTCCAAGGGAGCCCCATGCACACTGATGCACCACTTCTGCATCAGTGCACCACTTCTATCCGAGATATGTCCGGAGTCGCAGTCGCGTTTGTGTGAATGGGTTTTTTAGCTCATTTTTTCCTATTTGCCGTTCCGTTCGTCAGGGGTGTCCCATGTCCATGCTTTTGTATGTGATTTTTCAGGAACCTCTTTTTCGGGCGGTGAAAGCGTGTTCCTTGATCGTGCCTCCTTGTCTGCCGTCCGGTCTCCGGCTACCCGTTTGCGGGTATGCTGACGACACCATTCTATTTGTAGCTTCGGAGGGTTCTGTTGAAGCTGTCCAGGACGTTCTCCTGCGGTTTGAGTCCGCTACGGGGGCCGTTCTTAATCGGGCGAAGTCGGGGTTGATGGGGATCGGTGAGTGGGCCTCCCGCCTGGTGTGGGATAGGTCGTGGTTTCCGGTGGTCTCCTCGATTCGGGTTCTTGGGATTACTTGGTTTGCCTCCTATGATCGCTCCTTGGAGTGGAATTGGGGTGCTGTCTCTCGGTCGGTTGGTGTTGCAGTTGGCCTTTTGTCGCGTCGTCCCTTGACGATTTATCAGAGGGGGCTGCTTGTTGCGTGTAAGGTCTTGTCGCGTGTCTGGTTTGTGGCTCGATGTTTCCCGTTGGATCGTCGGAAGGCCTTGAGTTTGGAGAGTGTGGTGTATAGATATGTATGGTGTGGGCGTTATCAACCGGTGCGCCGTTCAACGTTGGTGTTAGGGGTGAGAGAGGGGGGGGGTGTTGGCATTCCTGACGTTTTCACGAAGGCCAAGGCCCTCTTCTGGGTCTCGTTGCGTCGGGGGCTGGCTCTCGGTGGGGGGTTGAATACGCTGGGTGTGTTTTTCTGCTCGCTTCGCTTCAGTTTTTTGGTTGATTTGGGGGTTTGTCAGGAGGTGGCCTTGGTTACCCCCCTGTTTATTCTTGGGCCGTGGGGATTCTTCGGGAGCTCTGCCGCCATCCTGGGTTTCTGTCTTTCTCGTGCAAGGCTGTGTATGGGGTGTTGTTGCCCCGGGTGCGGCCTCGAGTGGAGGGCTTGTTCCCGTGTTGGGATTGGGGTGGTATCTGGTCGTGTTTGGGGGCACGGTTCTTGGCGCCTCAGCAGCGTGAATTGCTGTTTCGGGTTCTGCATTTGTCGCTGGCGACAAATGAGCGGTTGTGTATGCTTGGCTTGCGTGATTCTGGGGCGTGTGCTCACTGTGGTTTATGTGAATCGCAGGTGCATGTACTTTATTTTTGTGTCCGGTTACAGGGGTTGGTGGACTGGTTTCGGGATGTCCTGGAGGTGTTTTGTGGTCCGGGTTGTCGGGGTGATGGTTTGCAATTTTTGTTTTTGTATTTTCCGGCTTATCCGCAGCGGGTGCGTAATACATTGTGTGTTTTGGTTGCTGATTATGTGTTTTGTGTGTGGGTTGGGAGGCGGGAGGGTTTTGGGATCGCCCGAATTTTAGGATTTTTACGGGGGCGCATGCGGTTTACCTGGTGGTGGTTGCAGCGCGCTTTTCCGGAGGAGTTTGGTCGGTGGTTCACAAATGCCTATGTTCGTGGGGTTGCCTTTGGGTCGGCGGGTGCCTTGGTGGCAAGGTGATGTTCTCGGCTTGGGTGGGGTTGGGGTGTTGATGGGGGGGGTTTAGAGGGGTTGGGGGGTTTCGGGGTTTGCTTTGCTATGCGCTCCCTTTCCGCTTCTTGGGGTGTCCTTGGCGGGGGTTGCGTGTGTTTGTGTGTCTCCCCCCTTGAGATGCTGCTGCTCCTGTGTGTGTGTGGTGTGTTTTCCGTACCTCCGGGTGCCGGTTGTGTCCGTATGCGTGTGGGTGTGTGATTTTGAGGGGGGTTTTGGCTCCTGCGTGGGCCTGGGTTTTCTGCTGTACTGTTTTCTACTGTTCCTTTTGTGGCCGTGTTTCGCTTTGGCCTGTAACCCTTTATTTTGCGTGCTTGGGTGCAGTGTGGTGTGCCGTGGTGGTGTGGGTGGTATGAGTGTGTTTGTCTTGTTGTTTAGCGTGTGTTTAGTGTGCGTGTACATAATTTCTTCTTATTTAGTGTATATCATTTTCCTGGGTAGCGCGTGTATGATCCTATG